GGCGCGACCCAGGGCTGTTGTCTTAAGGACATTTCGTTGAAAATGAGCCATTCGGCTGATAATTGGTAAGAGTTTGCGATCTTATAATGTATAACTGTTACTCAGACACATATTTTGACACGATTCTGTTGGAAATAAGCTTTGAACCGAGAGATATTCACGATTGATATGCACATTTTTGATTGTGCCATTGCTTTTCTATTGCACAATCCATGTATTGATAGAAGAAACATTAATAATACAGATTGGTTTACCTTCAATACATGGCAGACACTACATATCGGTCTATTAATACCAGTTTGTGCCTTAAATAGTTTTATATTTCCATCCACGGCCTGGAGCCTGGGTGTGTTTGTCTCTTATGTGTATGCTTGTGCATGGACTTCTAATCACTAGCAGAATTTAACATGATGCAAACTCGACATTATAACTCATGCTGTAACATTTTGACTTCGCTGGAAAACAATAGGAATTCTTTTTTCTTGCCAATCAATCATGAATCACAATCAAAATTTCAGAATGATCAATCAGGCAATGGTCCAAATCAAGTTATAACATTATATGATATTCAGCAAGAAGTCCGGTAGAAATACAGAATATTTTAACATCAAAGCTGAAAGTTAAAAGCTAATCTGTCAATTTTCTGTCTGCAAAAGAGCGTCCCAAGAGCGTTTACATTTGACACAATAACAGACTGAGGCTTTGAAATCTAGGATTCCCCAGGAAAATATGACGTCATACTAATTAGCATAAGGATTTCCCTATTGGGGTGGGTCGAGCCTTGTTTGAAAACACAATCCATAAATACATGCTAATTTCTAAGGAGATAGGAAGTGTATAACGTGTTTATCGATTTTGTTTAAAGATTTAATCAATTATCAAATTGTTTAAGTGGATAAAGTGGTCACACTTGCTTCAATTCATAGCGAAATCGACGGATAGAAACTGACCGAATTCCCGATATCCTACCCCGTATTACTGTAGGCTATAAGCACAGTGACCTACAGAGGGCGCTATCACAAACAAGTACTGGACGAACCGATAAATTCCCGGGTATTGTAACGCCCTTGCATGTATCTAATGCATTGAAATTGTAAGAGTGCTGATGGTTATGTAGTGTTGTGTATATAGTGAAAAGGTGGAACATTATACATTATATCGACAATCATTGAAATGAAAGAATAATGCGTGTTAAACATTGAAGAGAAAGTGATGAATATTTCATGATATTATCACCAATAATCAATAATTTCAGAAATCTGACTCAGATACTTATGTAAAGGGGCTTAGTGCCAGTTTGTGATCCTAAAATACAAAAAATAAAATTCAAAAGTTATTTGCATTATCAAAATAATTTATCATTTTTCTGTTCATATGGAGCTTGAAAAAATTTAGTTAAATGAATTGCCTTTTTAGGAATTATAAGAGGTGCATGCACCCATTTTAAATGACTTGCCACAGCCTGTGTCATAGCCTATAATAGTAGGGATATGATAATATAAGTATAATATGTTGCGTTTTGAGACACAGTTAATCTCTTAAAAGAAAAATGGTTTCATTTGTGAAGAGTGGAAAACAATACTTCCCATGTTATTTTCCCATAGGGAAAACTCATGCGGTTCATTGTTTTCAGCTTAATTTTGGTCACCTATAATTGATATCTTTAAAACCCATGCATGAATCCATTTTTCCTTTTTAGAGTTTAACCGTGTCTCAAAACACAAAACATATTGATGCATCAAACATTGAAAAAAACAGGTGTGGAAAGAGAAAAAAGAGAAAAAAATATGTTGGTGGAGTGTTTGCCCCGAATCATTCACCTGGTGGTGAAACTGGTTACTACCTCTGGGTTATTGTATATGTACATGTAAATAATAACAATATAGTTGTCAGTTAAATGTATAGGTGTCAGACTGTAGCTACTCTTGTCAGTTTACCGCTTCTTCTTTGGTTCCAGAGATCAAATATAACTTATTGGAAAGAAAATTATATTCTGAAAGTCAAAGGAAACTGAAGGCCCTGACTTTTTCCCTTGATGGGTTGATTAGCCATAATGTATTCATATAGTGAATAATTGAAACCTATTTATCTGAATAACTCTCTAATCAGAATACCTCTCAGTGAGAACACCTTTCCTGATCCCATAGACCCAAATATTAAGAACACCTTGAAATATGAACACCTGCTAATTTAAACACTTTTGGTCAGTTCCAGCAGGATTTGAATCAGACAAGTTTTACTGCCCATGTCCTTAAAGAAGTATGTACATGTAGATATACATATAGCCATATAATTGTCAGTTCTATGAAGGTAGCACGCCAGGTTAATTATAAAACCTTTGTGATTAATTATATCCAGTATTGACTTGTGAACAGACATGGTATGATTTATTAATTCCGTACAAGGTAACACTACTACACATGGCACCCTACCTTTAAAATTAAACCCAGACTGGTTTTTATCGAGAAATCTGTAATCTGACTTCTTGGGATTTTTGATCGTTTTGAGTTCAAATTTCATTTATATTCTAGTTGATTTTGCCATTTCTCAGTGATTTTTTTTTTCAGTCAGAAAATACAATCTATAAAGCATGGGTGAATATTCATTTTGCCAATGAAACTCAACATTGACTGATTAGGGTTCAGCGATCGCTGCCAAGTATGGATGTTTTGGTGCCGAATGTAGTCATCGAGTCGGAATAGTTGAAGCAATAGCAGTGGATCTTCTCCTCATGAAAATTCAATAATTTTGTTTTTTAATGTTCGCTCTAAGTCGCTGTAGCAAACTAAATGTTCTCTGCAGAAAATGTAACTCATCATAGAGTTAACATAATTCTGACCATTGCTAAATTGATATTAATATTACATAGTGACAGGATGCACAGTCTGTTTTGACCTTAAAATCATAATACTAACCAAAAATGAAATTGAAATGATTTTCTTCACTTAATTAAAAGCATTTTTCTATTGTAATAGAAATGGCTATTGTATTCTTCCTGATGAATGCACATCTTTGAGAAGTAACTGGGTTGCAGCATATTGAGTTGCACCATTTTAGTTGCACTATTTTTGGGTTGCAAATCTGTGCCTGCTAAAAATATGAAAAATCACAAACTATAGGTCTTTAATAAAAACCTGATGCTTTGCTTTGCCTAAAAGAATCACTATGGATCGAATAAAACAGACACGATCAGTAAAAGTCAGTAACTTTTGTCAGGGAGGTACAGATTTTGATGCGAGATTGAGTTACAGTTTATATGCTTTCATTCAATTTATTATATTTTGGGAGTGGGGTAAGGGTATTTATATGAACTTAGCTGTCCTGAGCTAACCTTGCCCCTTCAGAAAGATAAACTTTATCTCTCGATTTGAAATATGAATATTTTATTATCCGTTCAATTAAAAAATTAGATACTGGTTTGACACTATTTGTGAATATACTTGAAGTTTGAACAGGGTTAATTTGGGTCATAGATTATTTAAATTATGGACATGTATTCTATTAGAATAGTTATACATTCAAACCAAACAGTAATAAGTCTGGTAGATAAGGATTTATCGGTTGCCGGGATGTCTAAAAAAAGTTAAATCTCTTCAAAATATGTAACAAATATGACTTATTAATGAGTTCTCATAATTTAGGAGTGCCTAAGATAAAGTTTTGAATATGTAGGTGGTGCTCATTTTTTACCACGAATGATTACTTCCCATATGTTTTTATTTTTTCAAAATACAAGGGTATTTCCGAGTAAATGCAACATCTGGGATGAAGCCCTCATAACATGGCATATAAGGAAATTTGCCCATAAAAGGAAATAATTCCATATGTCATAGCAATTAAATTAACAGTGCTCTTATACATAATTCTATAGCCACACGCACTTACATCTCCATCGATATACATCCAGAATAAATGTTGCAGAATCAGCCAGATTCTTCAGTGGCGTAGCGTCATATACGCATAAAACGCCATAGCGTACTCTCAAAATTTAGAGAAAAGTGAATTTTTAATATTGAAATGACCCACATTTGATATTCTGAAGTAATGGCCTAACATTTTATTAATCCATTTTTTCGGAGTCATAATTTCGTATTTTAAAACACCCCAGAACGCTTCAAATGCAATCTCTTTTCAAATTTTCTTGGGGGAAAGAACCCCCCTTCAAAGCTTGTTCGCTTCGCTCACTCTTGGCGTACACTCATAAAATACCCATGCTACGCCACTGTTCTTTTCTGTGATTTTGTTCATGTTATTTTTGTGGATAACAGTTGTTGTTCAGCAGTCAGCATCTGTAAAAATGCCAGTTGGTGACATTTTGTTGGTAAATGCCTTGTTTCAATCAGACGGGGATTGGCACAAATGAAGTTGTACAGTTAAACCTGTATGAGTAGAACACCTTTGGTACCCCTACAAACTGTTTTACTTTGAAGGCGTTCCACTTATAGAGGTTTATTTATTATTAAGTCAGTTTTTCTCGGAACTCTGAAAAGTGTTTCACTTACAGAGGTGTTTCACTTGTAGAGGTGTTCCATTTGAAGAGGTGTTCCACTTTACAGGTTTTACTGTGTTTTGAAGTGGAATTACAAATCTTTTGATTTTGTCCTTTGAGGATATCCTAAAGGGATTAAGTTCAGTAAATATGAAATTTTAGTTCAGTTTATGATATTTCTACTCTATTGTGATAAGTTATACTTTACATGTATCTTAGTGTAATTACTCATTCTCCTTTGGAATTATGTATTTTATTTGTATTTAATTAAATGACACATATTTTACAGAATTAAGGTAGTCCATGATTTGGACCTTTAATATAGGAATTAGCATACAAATATCCACGGGGCTAAAACTAGTGCCACCTTAATAGGGGAATTCCAGTTTTAAATTGATTTTTAATTGAATTATTCTGTGTGCGGTTTATTAATAGCCTACAGAATTTTTGAACAATTAATGCAAATAGGAAGTCGTAAAAATTGAAAATTAAAACTTTGTTCTATTTTCAGACCATGTGACAGAACTATCAGTTGCTAAGGAGAGAATAGTAGCCCTTGACGGCCATATAGAAAGTCAGCGTGCGGAGGTAAGAGTTTGAACATTATTGTACTCTTTCGCCATTTCACTATACTGTTAAAATCATAATGGAAGGTGAAACAAGTAGTTTAACCTTTAGAATGCTGCCTTATTTCAGCATATGTATCCCAAGCGGCAAGCGCTGGGCTTATTTTTCAACGAGTGCAAAAATGATATGCCTGGATTGAATAATTAATATCTCAATAACTACTCAATGAATCTGGATAAAATTTTCACAGAAGATAACTGGCCTGGCTTGTGAAAAAAATTTCTTGTGAAATTTTTTGTAAATAAACATGACTGGGCATAAATATACCATGAATACTCCTCCGGAATCCGCTGCTTTGCCCCTGGGAGGATTCAACGTCTGGTCAGAATCCAAAACTGAATTTGTAGCAATCGAATATTCAAATTTTCAGTTAAAAAATATTCTACTTTACTTTATTAGCTTCCAAGAGCCTTAAGAGCTCAAAATCACAATCCATTTCCTCCACATTTTCATTACGATAGTATTTGGGCGCCATTTTTTACTATTTGTTCACTAAAAACAACTAAAAATGGATCCGCCGGCAGTCACTCTGGATAGTAAAGCATGGACGGATACACTTGCTAGAAGCATGGTAAAGGTTAAAGTGAAAATTCAAAAATGAATTATCTGTCAAAAACAACAGGCAGATTTGGCAAAAATAAAGGTGGTCAAATTTTTATGTCACAAAACTTTAGTACCAATAAGTACAAAATTTCTTGAAATCTTATATCTCTACAGTCCTTGTTGCCCCTTTAAATATTAGAAAAAATTACAAATGGAGAATATAATAAAATAACTAATTTTTACATCAAAGTCTGTAATTAATTTAACTAGTCTAATTGAACTGAATGCCGAAAATTTGCTAGTTTTTGAAATATCAAGAAAATGACAATGGCAAAAGATCCGTTTTTAAGATTTCAGAAGTGTTAATTGTGTGTAAAACTCTGCCATTGTAGAGGAGTCTCTCTTCAGTGTAATCACTATGCTTAATTCTGTATACAATAGGGTAGCATCGTACAACCTTTAAACAATTCACCCTTTTCATATCCTTTTTCTTGACGGGTTTTACTGTCATATGGTCCCAATCATGATATTTGCATTTGAATTTCTTGGTTTTGTATTTGGCTTTGAACTCAGCTAGAGGGTTTCTTATGCACGGAAACCAGCCATGGTGAAATGGTCGATTTTGCATAGGGTAGAAATCTGCAACAGCAATTGTTTCACCTGGCTTCTTAATGTTCCGTGTAACCATGTGATTCTTTTTTTGCTCAAAAGGGAAAATGTCCAAAAAAGGTAGCTGCAACTTGTATTTTTGAACAGCCTCGGGACCAGAACATTTAAACATCTTTACAAAGAGATTTAATCGATTGTTGCCACTATTCCAAAGTTTTCTCCAAGAATTCAAATTTCGTTTTTTATTCCACATTGAAGGTTCCTGTAAATATTTTTAGAATCTGCATAACTGGTGAACCCATATTTCCCCGAAAGAGCTAGTTCTTGGAAAGCTGACATCTGTTTTTCAAAGTCCCTGATGTCATAATGCAAATCAATATCATCATCCCAAGGAATGATGTCGTGAAAAAAGTATGAACCCATCAAAGACCCACCAGAAAGAACATAGCTCACATTTAGTTTCTTAAAAACGCCATCCAGTGCATCTAACATCTCAAACAGGTCAAAATACATTGAATTTGGAATTCGACGTGGCAGAAATGTGCACTTCGTAATGAATAATGGGTTTAATATTTTCTGCTCTGCAAGGTTGTTCCTAATATGGAACTTGTTCTCTTTCACTTGGGAGTCATCCTTGTTTTCCATCTCTTTCTTGTTGACTTGGTTCTTGCCTCTGCTTTCCTCAAACTTGTCTGTCTTATTGTAGAACTTGGTTTTGTTCGAATGCTTGTCCTGGAGTTTGTCTTTAGATAGATAAAGTGCTGTTGTTATAATTATTGTTATTACACAAATGAATAAAAACACTTGTGTTAAGTTTGTCTTCATCTTATATGACTCTGTTGAAGCTATCAAGTATTTTAATGATAAAATCTCCAAACTGAAGATTTGTGACTTATTTATACTCACGATGTAGAAATCGGTAACTGCTTATATTGAGAAACCCGATGATAAGCTGATTACACAATTGAATGTAAAGACTCCTGAGTGTCTTGACCATATAGTTAAACCTGTATATCCAAACACCCCTTTAATCTGGACACCTTTCAATGTGGATACTTTTCTTGGTACCATTTTTTTTTCTTTGACTTACATTTTTATAAAACCTTGAAATGTGAACACCTACTAATCTGAACACTTTTGGCTGGTCCCAGAGGTGTTTGGATAAGATCGGTTTCACTGCATCTCATTTATAATTCATAACCATTGAATTTATATAACACATTTTCATATTATTGTTTCAATGAGAATCAATAATGTCATTATACTGATACTAGTTCACAATGTTGTAACTTAAAGGGATATTCCTTGCCAACTTAAATTGATATTCCTTGTCAACTTAAAGGGAAATTCCTTGCTAACTTAAAGGGATATTCCTTGCCAACTTAAAGGGATATTCCTTGCCAACCTAAAGAGATATACCTTGCCAACTTAAAGGGATATTCCTTACCAACTTAAATATATATTCCTTGCCAACTTAAAGGGAAATTCCTTGCTAACCTAAAGGGATATTCCTTGCTAACTTAAATTTATATTCCTTGCCAACTTAAAGGGAAGTTCCTTGCTAACTTAAAGGGAAATTCCTTGCTAACTTAAAGGGATATTCCTTGCCAACATAAAGAGATATACCTTGCCAACTTAAAGGGATATTCCTTGCTTGCCCATTTCTCTTTTTATGACAGCTATAACCATTTATACTATCCAATCAACTAAAGTTTGCTGTTCAAAGTTGATAAAACTTTCTCATTGATGACATCACTTCCTGTATGAAATGTTAAAAGATGGCAGCTTACTGGAAATGACCACTACTATGTTTTAAATGATATAAGTTTTGACCTTATCCAAAGATTTCTCCAGGTTCTATACCATATCAAGAGAGTAATTAGCTCACAATGATTATTCCTTTAAAATCAAGTTTAAATGAATGTGCTGGACCTCCATAGTTGCCAACACCTTTGACATGCGTTGTTTGTTTGTTGTCACGAGGAGAAACTATGAAAGGCATATTCCTTCAGAGATTTTAAGAAAATTACAAGCCAAATTGACTTGTAATTGAAATCGTTATAAGTTCCAGAATTATATTGCAAGTCAAATACAGGACTTGTAATAGAAATGTTACATAGCAAAAAACTTAAGTTAATTGTTAACATCAAATATAAAACAACCATTACTCTTATTTCATCCACACAGAAACACAGAGCTGTCAAGTGTCCCCGCGAATGGCGGGATTATCCCGCGAATTCGATCAAAATTAGGCTAATTCGCGTGTCCCGCAATGTCCCGCGAAGTCCCGCAATGTGGCTTTCGACCTCCGCGAATTTCCGAAATTGTTGCAATCCCCTATATGGTGATTATCTTATCTTATATAAGAAGCTAAGTTTTTGCACTTTTGAGGAGTAAAGTTTACCTAATTTTAAGTACCTAGCATGCTGTTGTTTGGTATCAAAATAAAGAGGAAGGGTTCAACTTTCATTTTAATTACGACAATAGGGATGTAGGTCACAAATAGTTCCAATGTTGGCCTTTTTACTATCCGCGTGGCCTTCATCTCAGAACTGAGCAAATGTTAGCAAACGCGAGTTACAATAAATGGACGCTGATATCTAGAAAGGGTTTGTAGAAAAAACCGGGTACCGGGTAGTAAATCCTCCATGCTGGGTTCAAACTTGGTACCCGGTACCCGGTCAAAAAATGGGTACCCAAAAAATGAAAAATACGAATATTCGAGTATAACATAATTAGATTATCAGAAAACGTGTAAGATTTGTTTTGAATTTACAAAAATGTATGTAACATCCTTCAAAATTGACCTAGAAGCTTCAAATAAAAAGCATATTTTAAGGCTCTTTTCTTCCTCTATCGTCATGACCATATTTTCATTGGTTATGTTCACGTACCAACATACGAACTATTGAAAATAGAGTAAAATTGATCTGTCTTGTTATTCAAATCGTCTTACAATGTCATTGGCGTAGCCAGGAGAGGGTGTGATGGTGCGATCGCACCCCCCCCCCCCTTCATTACCAATGGAAATTTGACCATGATGATAAAGGAAGAAAAGAGGCTTAAATGCTTTTTATTTGAAGCTTCTAGCTCAATTTTGAAGGAAGTTACATTTTTGTAAATTCAAAACAAATCTTACACGTTTTCTAATGGTCTAATTATGTTGTATATTCGTATATTTCATTTTTTGGGTACCCGGTTTTTTCGACCGGGTACCAAGTTTGAACCCAGCATGGAGGATTTACTACCCGGTACCCGGTTTTTTTTACAAACCCTATCTAGAAAAGTAACCCCATTCCCTATAATTTGATGTAGATTAATCGAACCCCTATATCATGGGCTTTCAATTGAAAGCCCATGCCTACAGTATGGTAGTAGTTGGTCACGACGCCAGAAGCAGAGAAGTGCAAAGTATTGTTCCAAATTTTTGAATTTCGTGTTAGATTACGATTCTCACACCTGAAGCATGGTTTTTGTTTTTGATAAATTACAATAAAGTTTAATAATATTTCTATGCGTATTTTGTGAAATTATGTTGACGTTTATTAAAGTTACAATGTAACGGTGCATTATATTTGATTAATCAGTATCTGAAAGTTTGATTCAAGTACTTTTACACGCTTTTACATTAGTCCAAATCACGCAAATCCCTTGAATGTCCCGGGACATCCTGCAAATTTAGGTGGATGTCCCGCGAAATCCCGCAAATTTAGGGCACTTTTTCTAGAAAATCTGTCCCTCTATGAAGTTTTTGCTGGTAAACCTGTTAACTGTCCCGCAATTAGGGTGTTTGTCCCTCGAATGGTCCCGCGAAATCCCGCGAATTTGATAAAAAAAATTGGCCTATAAGCGCAATCACGCAAATCCCTTAAATGTCCCGCGAAATCCCGCGAATTTAGTAGATGTCCCGCAAAATCCCGCGAATTTAGTAGATGTGCCGCAAAATCCCGGAATTTTGGGCACTGAGTCTAAAAAATCTGTCCCGCGAGAAAATCTTTGGGGGTTGACAGTACTGGAAACATGTCTTAACAAGCGAGATCGTGGCAAAAGAATGGCAACCACATGAGATTATTAAAGCAAGAGTTTTCCGAATAGTTCTTGAATTCCAAAAATCACATATATTAATAAGATAAGAGAAAAAATCCTGGGGAGAAAATTGGATAATATCTGCATGCGTCATTGTTTTTTTTTCATAAAATCCTTCAGGAAAGAAGTAGTCATGCAACTGTGGAATGGCATTGTATTTATGTATATGTGTACAGTATATCTGATGTCTGTCTGCGGTTCAATAAGTATGTAGTAAAACTACATACTGAGCAAATGCTTTAGTTACTTTTCATAAATTCTTTGTTATGAAGTTATTTTGTCAATGTGCTTTGTAATGAAGCAGTTGAACTCTGTGTGTTAACTGTATATTATATTCACATTTACTGGTTTTTCTGTGAAAGGACTGAATGATTCGTGCATTTACAAAAATATCAATAAAATGGCGTGATAGTTATTTTTTAATATATTATACAGACACGCTTGAAAATGGTTCTATTATAGTAATAATATGGATTCAACCAAATATACAGACATTAAGTGTGAGGCTTGCAAAATATAATTTCTTCTTTTTATTTTGATAAGAAATTAGATTAATCCATAATACTAATGGTATTGAAAATATAATATGATTTTATTTGCTGTTTCAGATCCAGAGACTGAAGAAGGCGAACACAGATTTGGAAGTTCAGCTAGAATCTTCTGAATTACACGCTAATAGCCTTAGTGTAGAATACAGGGGTCAAATTCAGCAGAAAGATGTGAGTATATGATTGATCGTTTTACACAGATTTGGAAGTTCAGCTAGAATCTTCTGAATTACATGCCAATAGCCTTAGTGTAGAATACAGGGGTCAAATTCAGCAGAAAGATGTGAGTATATGATTGATCGTTTTACACAGATTTGGAAGTTCAGCTAGAATCTTCTGAATTACATGCCAATAGCCTTAGTGTAGAATACAGGGGTCAAATTCAGCAGAAAGATGTGAGTATATGATTGATCGTTTTACACAGATTTGGAAGTTCAGCTAGAATCTTCTGAATTACATGCCAATAGCCTAAGTGTAGAATACAGGGGTCAAATTCAGCAAAAAGATGTGAGTATAATGAGGAGATTGTTTTTGAGCATCTGGACAATCAGGTCATTTTAGAATTTCATCCTCAAATGAGTGCAAAATTCAAATTTTCATGATTTGTCTCATTTTCAAATAGGATGTAAATCATGTCTTAAGTAGAAGCAGTCTTATTTTTACATCAAATTCCAAGATTTGAAAAACATCAAGTCTGGCTCGACCCTCTCCAAGCTTTTGCAATAAAAGAGTTTCAGATTATGAAGGAGTACAATGCTCTCCTGAAGGATTGTGTTGGTTTTATCACTTATGGCTTTGATCAGTGTTGGCCTAAGGATATGAAACCTGCTGGTCGAAATGGCATTACGGGCCAGTTGCAATATTATTTTCCTATACCTAGTGAAAAAATCAACTGGTCCGTATCAAAAGTAATCTGGTAATGACCAGCGGATTTGCCCTTAGGGCCTACACTGGTTTTGATGCAAGGATGTTGGTTAAAGGTAGAATCAGATTTAGTCAGCAACCATTCTAAAAATTCAATAATGGAAACCGTTAAAGGTTGCTGATTTCACGTCCTAATTGTATTGTCACACAAAAAATTAATAATTGTATAATATTTGTATACTTGTATCTTTCATTAAGAAATAATAAATAAATTTGAAAAAAAAAGATTATAAAGATCAGGTTGTCTTTTCTCATTATTTCTCATTATTTCATGTTTTTAGAATGAAATCAAGGCATTAAAGCAGAAAGAGTTAGAATGGCTGGACATCCAAAAGACTGACGCAGTCCAAAGAGATGTATCTCATTCAACCCTACCCCCATCACAGTCAGCCCCGAATTTCTCAAGTCTTTCGCATACGGGTTAGTACATTGATATAGACATCATGCTAGATAAATCTAAGTTACAAGCAATGTTTGAACATTTAATTGATTTAACAAATTCAGTTTTTGCGACAATCAAATCAAACTCATGATGTTATATTTCATCGGGGAAGTAGCACGTTAAGAAACACTGAGTAGGGATTTTATTTTAGAATAAATGGCTAACTGAAGCCAACTTATATCACAACTTGAGAGAATGTTGAAATTATTGCATCTATTATTTTCATACAAACAGGCAAGTACTGAGTACGACCTGTAGTGGAACACCTCTGTAACTGAAACACCTCTGTAACTGAAACACCTCTGTAACTGAAACACCTCTGTAACTGAAACACCTCTGTAACTGAAACACCTCTGTAACTGGAACACATAAAATGGAATCTGTGTTACTCAGTAAAGCACTTTCAAAGTAGAATGCTATTTCAAGGTTCCAAATATGTCTTGAATATGATTCTTTCAAATTGTTTTTAACTTGAAAAATTAAATTATAAACCAGTCTCAGATTTTAAGATTTCAAATCTAGATTTTTCATAATAAGTTATTATAGGACTACTTGTATACTTTGATCATATTTTTTTCAAATCAGAGTATTTATAAATGTTATTTAAACACCCACGCTAGAAAATCTCCTGAGTTATCATTTAATAATTAGGTTGATCAGGTAATTATAAAGATTTTAATTGAGTCCATTAAGATTAGTTATTTGCTTATTGCAAAGATCAGTCCAAATTTTCCAGAACCTTCTTTTTTCATCTTTTGGCATATTATATTTTTTGCATTTAAGTGTACATGTATATTAAAAAGTCTGATCACCAGTTTTTTTGCAAAAAGTCCAGATCAACAGAAAGTTAAGCTTTAGGGGTGACTCTAGCTTGGAAATTGGAGAAATATTTAAAAACTTGATCAGGAATTATTTTGAAATGCTAACTTTGGTACAAGAGTGGGATCAGTTGGGATTAGCCAGGAATAAAGTAAACTAAACAGCCATGTAGCTAACACTCTAATTTATATTGAATTATTGATTGATAAGGAAATAGCATTTTTACAACAGCCTGCCAAAAATAGTATCCACCCATATCCATCCAAAGTTTATTTATCCCATACTTGGACATGTTTTAGTAACATTAAAGCAGGTTTTTATTAATAGCAGATTTTCATCTGGCAGTGGACAGATATAGATTTTACATCCCGGCTGAGTGGGCAGATATATCATATTTACCTCAGGATAATCCCAATATCTTGAACCTCATACATGATAAACTTTAAAGAATTTGATTAATACATTATGAAATGAGAAATATAGATATACTGCTTATTAACGTAGATTATTATTATTGTGTAGATTTTTATCAAGGAGAGCTAAGGAACAGCTGTTTGACGTGTATTCCCAAAAATAAAATTCTGCTTTAGGTATATTGAAAAACAAAAGTTGTAAAAACATTAAGCTTAGTAAATTATTTAAGTACTAAAAATGCTTAAAGATTTGAAATTTCAGTGATAATTTGGAAAAAAATGTAATGCTTTTGTACATGCTTAACATGAAATGTGGATTCTGTATGTCCCCTTCTAAATGGCTCCTTATGATTTATGTCAACCCTTGCAAGATTTAAAAAGGGGGCTTGTGTAAGAGTATACATCTTGTTGAGTTTTCTTGATTAATTCTGTAAGGGGAGATGATGATCTAGTTTTAAAATATAATCCAAGATATGAACTTCACCAATGTTCACAGGGTATCTGAAATACAAATATTCATTTTTGAGTTTACGTGAGAAATTGAGTCATATCTCGAGAGGTGCTCTTCTAGTTGGTCTGACATGATTGGATATTTAGGAACATTATCACTTGTGTACCTTACCTGTGTTAATAATATACAGATTCCTGGCCAATTGATTATCAAGCAATGCCATGAACATGTATAACAACCAAAATCGTAAATTCATTTTATGGTTAGCATGGTGTCACTCTGGCCCCTAATCTGTATAAAAAAGCATATGGTTTATATGGCTGTGTCCAAGATACTAACGATGATTTATATTGGCGGTTTTTGCCCGTGGGTTAGGACGTTATTAAAGACACTAAGCCTAGTTCTTATTACCGTACACATGTTAAGGATTTGTAAAATCTTCCAACAAAGGTAAATATTTTAATTAACATTTCGTTACTTCCTAATCAATAGAAATTGTTAATTTTTGTGCAGTATCGAACAAAAAGTGTACTTTTCATGATAATTTCTTTTTAAAGTGTAAATTGATGTACCATGTATTGATTTACTGAATATTCAGTCCATCTTTATGATCGATCATTTACATTCTTCTTTAAATGTTTTTAAATGTTGACTCTGGAGTTGAGTAATTGTTTTAATTGACTTATTATGAATAATATTCTCAATTACAAGATGCATATCATACATATACATGTATATATAGTTTTTATTAAATGTTACGAAAATCAAAATGTTGAGGAAAAAGACCATGTGTTACCAGCCTAATGTACCACGTGCATCATACATGTACAGTGTGCTGTATATTGTATATATGTATATGCATTTTAGATATTGTCAAAATGTATCCTGATAACTTTTGGATAATAACAGTAAAATACTCCTAAATCATGAAACTTCCAGCAAAAAATTGTCTGATGATTTTTTTTGATTTTTTATCAAGCAAGAATAAATTACAGATCTGTTACATATTATGACTCTTGAGTTCCCCTGATTAAAAAATTAATTAAAACTAATTAGAAATGTTATTAAATGATTCGATATAGTCCTTTAATTAAAAGAATCATTAAAAGGAGTTATATAACAATGTAGTGGTTACTCAAATTATTGTTGGACGTTGTTCTTTCAAATTTTGGACGTCAAGTCTAGAAGTAATCATGTCGATTTACACAAGCTTTGTGTGCTTTGTTTGTATCAAATGATTGCCTATAGATTTAGTCTTTGCATATTGTTGGCTATTTTGTTAGCTTAAAGTATCAAAGGAAAATCTAATCCCCGGAATACACATGACTCTGAGTAAGGGATTAGACTATCCATCCGTCCGTCTGCTCACGCTTATTTTACTCCATTTCTCTCTTAAATTTGAATGAAGTGTCTGATTTTTTTGCATTTCTTTACAGTTTATCATTTTGGGTTTACATATGTATAACTCAATATTATCAAATTAAGCCTTTCTTTTGGTTATTTTCATTTGAAAACTGATGGGGGAATATGTCATGCAAAATTAAGGGTTTAAGCCGCTTCTCTCCTCCTTGATTTAATGAATTTGAATCTCTGATCTGTATGCTCATGTATACACTCCCAAATGTATCATTTTAAACTTGAATCCCATTTTTGAATCATGAGACAGTGCCGCAGGACTTTTTAAGCATTGGTTTTAACAACTACGTCCTGTTAATTTTTATACTTATATTAATAAATTCTTACTGTATATGAAATTATACATGTTGGGATTCTTTGTTCTTTGTTATCTACCACTGGGTTTTAACTTGAAACTCAGAGGAGTTTATTAACCCTTTCATGTCTTGACTATATCGGTGCATTTTCATATTTAGATAATCCTTTCTTATTTGGAGGAGGAATTCACAAAGTTAAATAAGTTATTTTTACCTGTTTTCTCATTTTGATCTCTAAAAAGTCATCTTACAGAATATAAATAATCACATGTATATTTAGTGGTGCAATTGGGCATTTTCCCCAATTCTAGATTATATCACTCATGTTTTATAGAGAATAGATTGAAAATATAACCTTCATGAATATATCTATGCAGTTGTTTGATTTACCCTCAAAACTGATAATTCTATTTTGTAGCTAACTCCTCATTATTTAAATTAATTAAACATTTGATATTTTGCATCACTCCCACCTTGATTTAATTCCACAAGAGTAGACCTGAAAGGGTTAACTTGCAATAATTCCAGCTTGGAAAGTGGTTGTCCCGTATTATGTTGACTTTATCTCGCTCCAGCTCTTGAGGATGCTTGACTTTCGTCTTATTACTTTAATGTATTTATGAAGGGATGCGAGTTATAATAGAGCCATATGTATACATTGTATCGGATCATGAGAGTTAACGGATATGTGTATTCATGGTTTTATAAAATTAACACATATACATATTATAGTGATGTCAATCCTTAGTCGGATTTAAATTCTGATTGATATAACTTTAAGACCCGAATCTATTACATTTGGATGGAGTTAAAAGAGCCATATTATTCTATAGTTACTGTGATATTCGTAGGATTATCATGTCCAAATCAAAACTTCATTTTTGTATAGCAATGGAAGATCATCATGTTTGGCCAATTTTTACCTAAACCATAGAATATGGCTTTAAACCATGAGATATGGTGTCATATCCTATGATTAACAGATTTTCGCTCTTTGACTCAGGCTAATCACTCATTTGAAAAGTTGATTTGAATAATTCAAAATATATGCATATATCATATCCACTCATGGATAAAAAATATATCACTCATTAACCATAGGATATCCTCCATTTATATAGGATTGCCTCGTGTATTCTTATTGTTCAAAAATTATTTTTGAACTCCGTGTCAAGAGGAAAATATTTGAAAGCTCTGTCTCATCCATGTTGACCTTATTGAAACCAAGTTACATGACTATTACAGTTTTTTTGATTGTTTGTTTTTTGTTTGTTTAGTTCTGGAACATGAAATCTGGTAGCATTCCCCCTCCCCAATAGGGGATTCATCCCCAATTTTCTTTCCCAAAATCTGGAAGCATTCCCCCTCCCCAATATTGGAGATTCATCCCCAAATTTCTTTCCCAAAATCTGGAAGCATTCCCCATAAGGGACTTGTTCCCATTTTTCCTCATAGTTCTATGTCTATGAGTGAACATATATGTACATGTCATCTTAAAATTTTGAAAAGTAAAATGAAGTGTATCAATAAAATCAGGTCATTTGAAGGTTAAAGAAGACTTATCATTCTTATCAATGCTTTATAGATACATAGAATAATAGACCTATAGATTAATCATTTCTCAAAAGTGTTTACTGTTTACTATTTATAATTGGCATATATGAGACACTTCTCATAAAGCTAGGAAATAGAAATATATATGAGAAGAAAAGTGATACTGATAGTATAGCTTCAACTGGGCCCTGAAAAATTTGAATATTAATTTGCACCTAGTTGAAAATTTGATTATTAATTTGCACCCAGTTGAAAATTTGAATATTAATTTGCACCTAGTTGAAAACTTGAATATTAACTTTCACCTAGTTGAAAATTTAAGAATCACTTTGTAAACAGTTGAAAATCCTTTTGCAGAGGATTTGAGATATTTATCAATGGGTGTTTAACATCATGAGGTGTTCACCAATAAGTTTTGTAAAGAGGTGTTCACCTAGAAAGTGTTTTAAGAGGTGTTCATGTTTAACTGTTTTACCATACACTTTAGTACTCTCTCATTGATTTGGAAATCTTGTGAATGGACTAAACTTGTTTATCCAAGTACAAACAAAGCTAAGCTTTTAAGTAATGTCAGTCTTTGGAGAACATACATGTCAAATTGAAACATTTTTACTTCAAACAAACGGTTAATTCACAGGTTTAAATTTTGTACCAGCCTCAGATATATAATCAATTCAAAATTCAAGTACTCAGTTTTCAACCAGAATAATTTTCAATTCAATATTTTGATCAACCGTTTCATGTTGAGTCACATATAACTCATTAATGCCTGGGTCACATTTACCCCAATTCATCGGCCAGCGCCTGGCCGATTGAGTATCCTGTTTACAATTGTATTCAGTTTTGAACAGAACACTAAATCGGCCGGGCACCGGCTGATGAATCGGAACAAATGCGACCAAGGCATAAATTGATACAATGTAGTCTACATTTTCCCAATCATCATGAGTTGATGTCCTCGTGAATTCAAGTATTTTTAAGTATTTTATATTCATTCAGAAGTGAAGCAGTTGATATGATTGTATTCGAAGTAAAGATATGTTATCTCGCCAGGCCATGTGAATTAACAGAAAAAGGTTTCTTTACATACAGTAAAACCTGTCTTATCCGAACACCTCTGAGACCAGCCACAAGTGTTCAAATTAGCAGGTGTTCATATTTCAAGGTTTTATATTATGTGTGAGTCAATTTGGGACCAAGAAAAAGTGTTCACATTGAGAGGTGTTCGGATTAAAGAGTTGTTCAGATATTCAATTTTTTCTGTAGTGCTACACCGACTTACAAAAATTCTCAATTTCAGTACTTAACATTACGATTTTGAAGTCCATGCATGTTTAAGTTCAGTATAGCAGATTTTCATAGTGTGATAATCACACACATGGAAGTAATCCATTAAATTGTTGTTTAATTTTTCATTCATTTGAAAACAGGTTTAAGACAGTCTCAGTGCTTTACATCACTCGTGGAATTTTCCAGACATTTGAAGCAAATTAAAGAAAACCATGACAACCCCCATGATTTCGTTGTAGCGATTCAAATCCTTCAATGCGACCGTTCTCACCATAACCTAATTCTCTAATGAACTTTGTAGGTTTTGACGAAGATGAGTCGGGCCTGAGCGACGCATTAGCGCTGCAACAGGAAGTGAATCGTCTCCACGCGCAGGTTCGCAAACTACAAGTTGAAAACAACCACTGGAGGCAAGAAGCCAACAAGACCCAGGTATGATTCGCGATTAAGGTTCAATGTATATTTGTTTCTAAAAATGTATACCATTGCCATTCTGACTCTGTCCATTGCCCGACAGTCAATCTGTTTTTGCAAGTAAATGTCAAGAGTGGAAAATGGTTACCATTGGCAATCAGTTTTGTACCCTGGTTCAATGTATATTTGTTTCTCAAATGTATACCATTGCCATTCTGATTCTTTCCATTGCCCCACAGTCAATCTGTTTTTCAAGTAAATGCAAAGAGTGGGAAATGGTTACCATTGGCAATCAGTTTTGTACCCTTGGTAACCATGCTTTCTTAAAAATAGGATTTTTCAATACTGCCTGTGTTCGCTCATTTATGACCCTGTCATACCTTCCCTAAAGTTGATGCAATGCATAGACATACCCATTTGGGGTAAAATAAAAAGAAAAAGAAATGACAGGACCTCCATTGGTATACTGCTCATTCTATACCCCCCCCCTCCACATGAGAAACATCTTTGCGTGGGACAGAACCTGAATTTGACCTTGTTCTACAATGTATATTCCATATTTGAGGTCATAGTGTAACACAATATTAGGTATTTAATGACAGTATACATGCACTTCGTTTATGGTTTGATCACGGTAATTTTCACATAAAATAGCACTTTTGGAGGACATGACAATCAAAAAATAAACCTGTCATAAGTATTGTTTTTTGTATTTTTTATTGAAGAAAAATCTATTTCTGATCATTTGACACAAAAATCCTGAAGTATTCGCATCTCTTAGTGTCTCATTCGGTCATCCAAAGTTTGACACCATCAGAATAACAGCTGCTATATGTCTCAAATTTATTGTATCCCATTTCCACAAGAATTGCACATTGTCACTGGTAAGTTTCTGGAATGGAAGAAAATGGTAGAATTAATAATATAAAAACTGAAAATATTGGAATTTAAATATCTTTTCACAAAAAATCACTTTTTTTGATTATCTTATTAATTTTTATTCCACTTAATGATGGTTCATTTATTCTCTAGTTCATCTTACTTAAGTTAGAGTGACAAAGATATTAATTTCTTGTACAGAAAACAGTCTTTAATCAATGAAGTAACATTTCCTTGTCTTAAACAAGCAAGTATGATGATGCTTACAGTTTGTTACACAGGTAGGTGATATTACGGATGCTACATAAAAATGTACAATGATACCCTTTTCATTTTGAAGTGTGGAGCTCTCAATGCTGTTTTATGGCTGGCATATTTAATCTGAAATTGTTAAATAATAAGTTACAAGAGACTTAAAATATTTTTTTGTCAGGTACAAATATGAAATGCATAATTATACAAAAAATTCAAAAAAGATGCTCAAACAAGAATACTTTTGTGGAACATTTATATATTGACTGTCTAAAAGAAGAGAATATAGTAGTATCCTGTTACTTGAACATTGTTTAGTGATAGAAAATATAAAACAACTGTGTAGATTGCAAGTGTTTAATCTTATATACATTCAAAATAGAATAGAAAAAATTACGGATGCTACAAATAGTAAAGAATATAAACATATGAACTCACATTGGTTAGGAATTGTAAGTTTCCATAAACTAGTAACTGCATCTACTTGTTCTTCTTGTCATGTATCTTCATAATCAGATATTAGGATATCTGCAATATATAGACATATGATACACTTCAGTGAATATATAATACAAGTATAATTATATTTCATATAATTATACTTCTCTAGAGGTGAAATTAACAAAGTCAGCTCGTGAGAAAAAATAAAATTATCAATTGGAAATATCTAGTTATATGTAAAATGTTTTATAATATTTAATACTAATAGATAATAGTAAATATAATATCTTATAAATATGATATTCAAATGCTACAATTTAGAATTATAAAAACATTAAGTATTTATGCCTACCTCTTATTCCACTAGTACTTAATATTATGATGTCTGATGGTAAAATGTCAGTTCATGTATTGGTAAAGTATTGATTGCATACACATTATTCACCCTAGCTTCCACAAATAAAAACAAAACAATATGGTTCCAATTGAAAATATAATGACATGTAGCATCTATTTTGTTTTCATTCCATTGTTCTACAGTAAAAGGAATGCTATATGTAAAAAATGAAAAATTGTGATGCGTAAAAATGAAATGTCTTTTAATAATACTTAATGCAGTCCATTGTTGTTGAGGATAAACAGTAACATCTTATAACATAAGTTTGCAATGTTTAGTGTTGCAGTTGAACAATCATCTTATTTAACTTTACAGTCTTTTGTGGCTGCAGTTGAACAGTAACATCTTACTCTAAGTTAGCAACTTTAACTGTTGCAATTCTATAGTTTATCAACAATATTGTCTTGTGCTATCACAAGACAAAATCGTGTTTAATAACTAGCAATACCAATGTTACCACCATCTTACCCGGTCCTTAGTACTCGCAATCTTTGATTATTGATACACTTATTTGGAAGGTTATTTGAGCTTACCCGTTGGTATTGATACACTTATCTGTGTTTTTTAGGCCCGAATACTGAGGTTTATTTTTTTAATTATTGAGTCTTATTCTATTGCATTAATATGTAGTTGACTTTGTAACTACGGACGTGATATGATAGGTCTATTACATAATATGTATATATAAATATCGTGATGATTAATGAATCTAGATGAAGAGTAATCATTAAAACAAACTTAGACGACATTTAATATTTAAAGAAAAATAATTTGATAGATAACTTATGCATGTATAAGTCTCTTAGTAAAAAATTTAAGGGAAACGGGTTTCGTGATTTAACAGAGGACAGCAAGGTATTAATGTTGTTGTCTACGATCCCGGTTCACGCTATTTATTTACAGTTTGTAGATTAAAGATCCTTATTTAAAGACAACGTCGTCTTTATGAATTATTTAAGACATCAGTAGTCACAGAAATTGATTATCCGAAGAGGATACCGAGTTCTGACCAGCAGACGAACAATTGCAGACATGGGCTAAGTTTGTTTATTTAACAGTTAGATTTGTTGACTTACTGATCCGTATTGTAATCTCTGGGAAGACGTTATTTTTATTTATTCTATACTTTGTATTTGCGTCCAATGTAATAAAGTTGATACTTTTATGAACAAGAATTTCATTTTAATGGCCATTTTGTATGCCTTTTATTTCCACACCATGTTTTGATTTTGCCTCGATGTTATTGTGGCATAGTGTTTTTGCTGTAAAATTCAAGAAATGTCAACTTTTTAATTAAGGAATGTTGGTTACTCTCTTGTGGTAAATCAAATTGTTGATGATGTCAACGGATCATGAGATAACACATTGCCCGGGGAAAGATATCAATATCAGTTGTATATCGGATATAAAAATAAATATTATAGTAGATGCTAATTGTTTGCTCTGAAATAATGTGACTAATGACTATTCCAGCGAATCAGGTAGATATTTCAACGGTTTTCGCGTAATGAAAGAATTTAGTTTTCGTTTCTATTAATTTGACAAGTAGGGTCGTTGATAAACACATATAACTGTAAAAGTATTTATTGGAAGTACTTGTTTTAACAGTCTTTTCGCTTCTCTTTTTGTCTCTCAACAGGCATAGGCGTAGCCAGGGGGGGTGGGTTGCGGTGCATAACCAATAAAATAGAACCTTTTTATTGGAGTTTTTGGTAGACTTTCTCTTGCTTTTTTCTTGAACCTTCTCTCATTTCTTTCAGTTCCAAATGGGTTTTCTTGGTTTTTTTGCTCTAATTTTATACGCATCCTCCAACGTTGTACCCTAGATACTTCCGCCTTTTTTTCAGTCTGTCTTGCAGTCTCTGCTTTCTGTTTTTAGCTTTTTGTTCTTTTCTTTTCTTCTCTGCCATTATCTTTTTACCTGCAGAAATCCTTTTGTCTTTTTCTGAATCTCTTTCCACATTTTTCTTCTTTTTTCTATAAGCACGCATTCGTTCTCTTTGTTTCTCCTTCATTGCTTCGTGTAAAGGCTGATTTTTCATACATCTTTTTTTCAGCTCTTTTCTTGCTTTTTGATTTCTTTTACGATCAACTTCTTTTACCTTTTCAAATTTAGATTTGTCTTGTTTTAATTTCTCTCGATATTTTCTCACATTTTCTCTGTTTTTCTCTGCTGAAAGTCCCATTTTGTCCTATGTTGCTCTTAGTCTTGATCTATTGGTTTCATAAGTTCACTTCTGAAGTCAGACTTTGTTTTTTTACATTATGTAATATAAACAAAATATGTAGCATCCGTAATATAGTGTGTTTGATGTTATTAAAGAAATAGTGTCCAATTTTTTTATTGTGCCAGTTTAATTTTAATTGAATGAATGATTCCTGAAATAAAAATGTTCATCCTTTCCATAGTTTGATATGAGAAGTTTAAAAAAGAAAAATATGGTTTTGGTTCTTTGTCAACTCTCATAATTAAATACCCCTTCAGTTCCTAAGGATATCAAGTAATTCTAGTCTGTATCAATCAATGTTGCAATATGACATGTTTCATAATACTGAAGGGTTGTGTTTATTTCTCTTTAACTGGGAATAAAGGACATTACGGATGCTACATTGTCTATTACGGATGCTACACAACCTAGATCAGCTCAGGACTCTGAAAAGGAAAAAACACAGAATATTTAAATATGCTATTTTCTTGAGGGCGGGGTATTTGTTAAATCTAGAACAATAAAAATTAAAAATATTTCTCAGTTAACATGTAATTTAGTTTTTTCTACAGATTACGGATGCTACACTTTTTTGTCTCTTAGATATATTTAGACTTTAAATAATAATATTTCTGTTTATTTGAAAGATTTACATGTTTTCATATTTTATTTGCTTATAACTATCAAAAGGCTTTATTAAAACACAAAAATAAAGAAATAAAAATATATATTTTACCTCTTAGTTGATGAATCAAAAATGTTAGTGCTGAAAATTCAGAAAGTCGTAACGGAGGTAGGCTTATCTAAAAATGCTATAACTTTTCTGTTGTTCGATGTTATTTGTTGAAATAAACGGCAAAATAAAGGAAACTGAAAATACTAAAATAAACATATAACTTTTATATATAAGTTTATTCAGTTTTTTCTCAAAACTTATTCTTAAATAGCTTATTTTAAAATGTCCGTTCGTAACGCGGAAAAAAGAGAGAATTTGACTCTTATTAATGCCATATACAATTTAATATGGGTTCCCATAGTTCTAAATGTGTTTGATTATGTAGAGTATACCCCAATGTAACATATTATAACTCCAACACCAACATATACCTCTTATTTATTAATTTACAGACCTGTAACATCATTTTTCTCAAAAGTGCTATTTTATGTGAAAATTACCGTCGAACACTAAATGCTTTCATCAAACATATTCAGCTTTTAACAACTAAAACTACAAAAGAGACATGTGTTTTTTATGTTGATTATATGTGACTTTGATCAGATGTTTTGGTACATTTATCCTTTTTTTGTTTGACCAAAGTACTTTGTGAGGAAAAACTTCAACCAGAACTTGTTTTTCATTTACAAAGGCCCAAAATATTTGTTATAGCTGAGTCTCGCTATAATTGAAGAATATCAGTTTTTTTTGTTGATTTTGATCATGATTTCATAAATTTAGTGTGTAGTTTTGTAGAACAATGGCTTACAACCAATATTATATTTTCGACCATCCTTAAATGACCAAAGTATTTTTTTATTAAGTTAGGTCGGTCCCTCAATTTTCTTTGACTTCTGACAAGGAAATAATTTAGCATATTCTTTATTTATTTAAGAATAAAACAATTATCACAAAGTACATGAAACTCGCATGAAAAAAGACCTAATTTGGAGTTCTGTTTGAAAAGTGTATTTAATTAAGCGACATATGGTAATTAATTTTGACTCCGAAATTGAAACAGCGTTAGAACGCCTAACTTTGGACTCCCTCGTTTACAATTTGAGGGCTTGGTAGGACAACCATATGAGGTCATATATACCTGTATTCGAAAAAACGCACCTAATTTTGATTTAAACCTTATAATTGCCAGATAATATATATGTTTGTGTATCAAATACTAATTTGTCGACCAAAGTCCTTCTTTTTGCCTCGCATATATTTGCATAGATTGACACGAAAATTAATTGCCAGCGACCTTTTTTAGATTTCTCAATCAATGTGTATAGCGTACCAGTATCCAAGTGCTTTATCATGCCTAGCATGTTTGCTTTGTTCTCAAGCTACCTTTACGATTGAAGGATAGAAATTGATATAAATTCAAATGAAGATAATTTTTATAATATGTTAATAGATAACTCTATGATAAAAACTCGATTTATCATTACTTCAAAGAAGTTCTTTTTATTGCTAAAAATTAGTGGCATTGGGCCGTATGCGTTGGCACTCCTTATATTCTCGTCGCTAAATCCTCGGCAGACTTTGAACGGTTTGTATTAAATCAGTCTACTGTAGACGTACATTTCTTAGGGCCCAAAACATGGATTTTTGATAGCTTTGGCCTCGTATTTTGAAATCACTAAATCAGGGACTATAATAGATATGTTTCTTTTGGCTGCAGTTAAGACGCTTACTAAGGGATTAAGATGACGTTTATTTTTAATTTAATTTTAGGCACCTGGCAATGAAGGCACAATATCACACTATGAGGAGTTGCAGTCATTACAGGCAGAAATCAAGGTATGGTATACATTAATCTTACATATTGATTTAATCATGTATATGGCCCAATACAGTATTATACACAGAAATATGAATGATAACTGTACAAATCAGTGAGTTCTCACAAAGTAATATGGAGGATGGGGGGGGGGGGGGGTGATGATACTCAGGTGGTCAAGGTAGATTGTATTCTTATTAAAAAATCAAATCATGCGAAATTGTATGGGGATGGCGCTAGATGGCACCCATATAACAAGTGTGATCTTGTGAAATAAGACATATAATAGAGAGAATATGATCTTATAAAAATTGGATGATGCTCACAATGGCACAATATTCAAGACCCCCCCCCCTATGTATAATGAAACTCTCTGGGTTGAGATGTTATGCAAGAATACTTAACATTACATGTATATATGATTTGGTCTGTACAGTAAATTAGTTTTATCCTGTTGGGAATTAAGATTCATCTCATTTTATTATAAAATAATCCGGGACATATAGGATGAAGGTTTAAACTGATTCTCTGTCAAAGAAAATGCGAATGAAAGGTCATATCTACATGTATTACAATCTTAAAGTGCAGATCGGAAAGAGTATAGTTCATTTCTGTTCTAGTCAGTCAGTATTGTGTATAGTAATTATATATTATATTTTTCTTGCAAAATATGAATCATGAAAAACTGAATCCTAAAATAGATGAGTGAATTTTATTTGTTTGATTCACGTTCAACAGCCTTGCAAATACCACCCTATGGTATTGACAGAAAGGGAGTAGCCTAAATTTACAACTAGAGTTAATTAGGGATAATTTATTGGCATTTTGAAAATAAAAACCATCATCTTTTTTTTAAAAAAAATATATCAATTTTTACCCAAAATACAGCATTACCAAATGTATATCTTTACAAAATGGTTTATTTTGATAAATAAATACAAAGAGTTTTGAATGATTTTTTAGTTTTGTAATATAACTGAGATACAGATCTATAAATTCAGAAATACCGCATGGTCATATGTCACAAAGTGTAGCTCTGATAAAAGGTTCAAAATACACTAGACATCTACTTGAGAATGCAATTTATTTTGTTAAACAAACGTTAACCTTTGAAGCAAAAATCATACCAACTAAAAATTGTAGAGTAGCAGGTTAGCATACGAAGCTGAGTTTAAATAGAAATTGGGTGATTTAGCAAATGTACATACATGTACTCATAATCTAGAAACAGGATAAGGAAGTGATTTCATGTGGCATTATTTTGATTAAAAAACGGCCATGTCATTTAGTTTTCCTAATCTTTTAGGACAAATATCCTTAAGGAATACCATTTGTTAGAGAAAGAGCTTATTATAGAAACAATCAGTTCACTGAGGACAATCTCGAAATTAACCTAAATGTATAAGTAATATTACATGCGCAGAATATATTCAGTATACAGTTTCAAATGGTTAAAGGAATCACGGTTCCAAAGCAATCAATACTAAGGCTTTTAACAGTAAAGGCTGTCTAATCCAAACCTAGGACCAGCTTAAAGTGTTCAGATTTGATTTGAAAGTTTATGGCAGTAAGTGGACCAAAAAGTGTTCACATTGAGAGGTGTTCTGATTAGGCTGGTGTTAGGACAGGTTTTACTGCCCTGTTAGTTGCCACCAGGCTTTAGGAATGTCATAAATGCATTGCTACCAGGCTTTAAGAATGTCATAAAGCATTGCTACCAGGCTTTAAGAATGTCATAAAGCATTGCTACCAGGCTTTAAGAATGTCGTAAATGCATTGCTACCAGGCTGTAAGAATGTCATAAATGCATTGCTACCAGGCTTTAAGAATGTCATAAAGCATTGCTACCAGGCTTTAAGAATGTCATAAAGCATTGCTACCAGACTTTAAGAATGTCATAAATGCATTGCTACCAGGCTTTAAGAATGTCATAAAGCATTGCTACCAGGCTTTAAGAATGTCATCAATGCATTGCTACCAGGCTTTAAGAATGTCATAAAGCATTGCTACCAGGCTTTAAGAATGTCATAAAGCATTGCTACCAGGCTTTAAGAATGTCATAAATGCATTGCTGTGATTCCTTTACTAGTTACCAGACTCTTCTGGAGATAAGTTATTAATAAGTTTTGAGTGGTTGCCATAGTAACTGGTATTGTATATTATCAACCAGTCAGTTATTTCTATGCTAACTGTACAGTTGATATTAAGCCATCGGGTATTTGTCTTTGAGTTCATGTTTTAAAATGCAAAATTGAGTGGAAAAGAGTGGAATCAGCAAGGAATAAAGTAAACAGGCATGTAGTTAACACTCTAAATGAGAAAGAACATGAAGTAGGATAGTGCATATTTGAGTGAGAAATATGGACTGTTTTATGATATCATATCATAAAAGCCACTTGGTTCTATCCTATTCCTATTAACAGTGCAAAACAGAGTATATGTAGTATACAATAGGATCAGAATTTGAAGATTCCATACCATATCATAGAAGCCACTTGGTTCTATCCTATTAAAGGTGCAAAACAGAGTATATGTAGTATACAATTGGATCAGAATTTGAAGATTCCATACCATATCATAGAAGCCACTTGGTTCTATCCTATTAAAGGTGCAAAACTGAGTATATGTAGTATACAATTGGATCAGAATTTGAAGATTCCATACCATATCATAGAAGCCACTTGGTTCTATCCTATTAAAGGTGCAAAACAGAGTATATGTAGTATACAATAGGATCAGAAAGGATCAAATGTTAAGAGAGTGATGAAATCCAGAAATGCATGATAATTAGCAGTTGGGCTAAACTTTTATTATGAGATGAATTACTTATTATTTTCTCAAGTTCAGAGTCAAAAGTTATAATAGTGTTGATGTAAGAGAAATCGAAAACTGCAGATTCAATCATTTGCTAAAAATAGAATTTGGACTAGTTGGAGGGTCCTATTGTTCAAATCCCACTAGGGTGGATTAAAATGTAACCCTAGCTCCTTTTCAATGGTTATGCCATATTTTTATTTTAAATAATTCAATTTATCCTTTGCACAGGGTTCAATTCAGTGTCTCAAATGTAGCACTTTTTATAATTGTAGGAATTACGAGAGAAGTTACACCATGAGGTTGAAGAGCATCAACAGGAGATTGCTGCTCTGCATGAACTACAGCGTCAGAAAGTGTCCACTCTCAAAGCAAGACATAAAACCCAAATCACTGAACTGGAGGAGAGGCTTAGTGAAACACAGGGTAAAATACTGAATATTAGAAGTCACTGCCCTGATCTTGCGTCGAAGTCTTCTTGCATCAGATTAAACATATTTCTGACTGAGAATATAATCACATGTATACTTGCAATATCATAACTCAGCAAAATGAAAATGTAAAATGCTGAAAACTGGGAATATTTGGAGCACAAAAAGGTTTATAAATCATACAATTATTACATACTGTGCAGTTCAAAAATCATGAAGGTTGGATATTTTGACAAAAGATGCAACTTGTGGAATCTGAGTTTTAATTCTATACATTTTGTTGCATTCCTCCCGTGCCTGTTACCTTTATTCCTTGCTGATTTCACTGATATCCACTCTTTTATATTTTAACACATGACCCCTATTCGTCTGTTTTCCTGTAGATTCAGATGATGGGCCATCTAATGAACTCCAAGAGATGTATAAGCAATTGCAAACCAGCCAAGCTTCTGTGCAAGAGCTCCAAAACACGATCGATCGCCAGAATAAAGAAAAATCCATTCTGAAAGATGAGCTCTTGAAAAATTCTGAGAGTTTGAAATTAGCCAAGGAGTCCATTGCTGAGTTTGAAACAACCAAGGGGTCCTACAATGAGAAGATTCAACATTTAGAAATGTTGTTAGATTTCCGTAAGGATGAGGGTAGCACTGCCAGCAATAGGTAAACTTTTCTTTGTGTTAATATTTGTGCTATTTTAATTCTGTAATTTGAAGTAAAAGCACTCAGTCTTTAAGTCAGTCTTACAATAAGCTCCTGTGTCATTTCCACACCCATTTTCTCATGCCCATTTTCTCTTATACAAGCTCTAATACAGCAATGTTTTCTTTTCTTTTTTTTAATATTTATTTCTTTTTTTATATTTATTATTAAATCATCTTAACATTTCATTAAAAGTCATAGTAAGCATATTACTCTGTGTACAAATAAATGTTATTTAGCAATTAGAAATAGTATTCCATCCTAGAATTCATCTCATTGAAATAAGAAATTCTTAGTGTGAAATGAATAAGTTTTGACATTTGAGACGATATCATGATTTCATTCAACTGTCAGAATATGTGTAATACATTAAATTCACTATAATTGAGTAAAAAATTATTATTTTTTAATGTTTAGCTAAAAAAAAATTGGAATTGTTAAAATAAAATCAGTATTTATAGTCAGTATCGATGATCATCTTTAGTAGTGTGTCTCAAAAGTAGGGTTTTTGAGAAATCCACTCGTTGTTTGATTTCCTTTATTTCCATACCTTGAAGTGGACTTGTTTATTTGCCGAAATCTCCCTTTGTACTTCTATCTATTCTTACCTTACCAATGACACGTGTCACTTTTTGAATAAGGTAAATGTTGGGACCAAATTATCCAAAAATATAAGACTGAAATACCAATTAATATTTCAATGGTGACAGGGGTCAATCAGGTTTAATTCTAATGAAATTAGTAAATTATTATTTCACCACGGACAATCTGGTCAAAATTATTTATAACTCAGTATTCATAATTAACGGTGCCACTTGTCCTATATTTATTAAATAATGTTACTCACTTTTGCAATGGTTCACAAAATCTAACCGTTATTAAGGCCAAGAGTCTGGTTCGATTTGATGTCATTAAGTTCATATTTTTTTTTTACTTGAGTTATCACCCCAGCTCTTGTAGTAAATTAACCTTTTTAAAAATTTTACTTCATTTTGACCTGTCTCAGATTTCTTTTTATATTTACAACTCGAATGCCAACTGTGAATTTGTTTACTTCAAATTTGTAGATATTTGATTGTTTTTAAATTTACTTAACATGTCTAGACCTTTGAATTTTATTTTTTGTAAACATTAAATTTTTCAACTCTAAATGTAGACATTACAATTTATTTAAATATGTAGACATCTGAATTTCCTTACTTTTTTGTAGACATTTCAATTTCTTGACTTTATTATATCAAATTTATTATTAATATATTGTAATATAATTATTAATTAATTATCTGTATATCTTTAATTTGTGTTTCTAGACATATGCATTTATTTTAGATTTGTAGACATTTATCATTACTAGTCCTTTCATTTGCCTATCTGAATGTGTTTTATCTTTTAATTGATTTATTCAAGTCAAAGGTCTAATAAATTAATAACGCTTCTTCCAAAGTTCACTTACTCCCATATTTTGAAATTAACGGTTCCTTTTTTAAAATGAAATTAACTCATAAAAGAGTTTAGTAAACGTTGGATGAATTATACAAGCTTGGTATAAATGATTTAAATTTTACTGAACTCAAAGGAAATTGGAATTTTTGTTCGATTTATCCATTCGAAAAACAGGAATGGGTGTCACTTTCGGCAAGAGTATGGTGAATTTGTTCACCTTTTTGCCTTGGGACTTTTAGCAGTTGTTAGTGAGAACAGACTCATGGTCTAAATTCTAATTAGAAATTGATATTCCTTGCAAAATATTTATCGCTTGTAATTCAAATAATGTGCTATTATGCAAGATGTTGATCCAAGTAATAAAAAATCAGATTTAGAATATTGATTTTGTAAAGAGTGCTTGGAAAGGATGAAATTGTACTTTAGTTTAGTGAAAATTTTCAAATGGGTGTCTTTGAATTTTGGAAGGGTTTTTCAGCACCTGGGATATTCAAATAATTAATTAACTTAACAGTAATTAAAACCTGGAAAAATATGTTACATTGAACATTATGTTAATTAATATATTTGACAACACCTTTATTAAGGGAGACATTAGTGACTTATTTATTTATCACTATTTATATAACACTAGGAGACATAACTTATGTACAGTTCCAACATTTTCAACATTTTAGGAAATGACACTGATTCATCGAGTAATGATACAAAAGGACAACATAATTGGGCCTTCCTGGATGCCGAAAGTATGATTTTTTAATTCAGTTATTTTATTAATTGTTATTATAGCAAAGAAGATTCAAATATCCAGGCAGATCACGATGTTCAAAACCGACTACTTTCTGCGCAAGTCAAAGAGTTGCAAAGTCGTATTCAAAATTACGAGGATGAAATCGAACAGTTTGAATTGGTGCGAGCTGATTGGACGAGTGAAAAAGAAGCAATGGAAAATATTTTAATGAAGTTAAAATCGGAACTTCAGGAAAAAGATATGTCCTTGTTGCTACTACAGGCTAAAACAGTAAGTTATACCTGAATATATTATAATTTGAAGTTTATTAAGTCATGACACAAGCTTTAATTCATCCAATGTTCCTGGAAATTACATTCTTTCAAAAATAGGGAATATAAGGCCAAAGTGGTATATAAAGCTGGAGCAATTTTTAACCAAACATACATTTTTGTGGTATCCAGATTAAACAAAATTTCAGTAAAATATGAGTTTGACGATATTTCAAATAACTTTTTCATGATAAAAATATGTTATTTACCACATCAACTGCAAATTTTGGTCAGTTGTTGTTATAGGTTTTTCATTGTCAGTTGTTCAGTTTTCCCCGTTGATTTATTTTGCTTTCCTTGCCCCCCCCCTTCCTGTTAATTATATGTTTACATTTTTGTTCTTCATGATATCAGGGCTTAGATGAGGAGGAAGGCAAGGTGGAACAGCAGGATGCTGACAGCCAATCAACTGACTCGGACAGCAAGGTGAGCATTCCATTAAACAACCCCCCCCCCTCATAAATGGCTTGCCAGCGTTGTAATAAATAAGTTCACTCCCAATTTTATTTCATGTCTTCATCGTTAGTATTTTTTCTCTTTTCTCAATTAAAAAGGTGCTAAGGAGAAGAGTTTTTTAAATTCTTTTAGTTTATTCTACATATTTTTTATTTATTTTGAGCAGAAATAGAATACTGTTTTATGAAGACACGGAAAAACATGAACTTCAAGAAATTCCCCAATTAAGGCAGATCCGCATGATGAGAGTTTTACTTGTAATTTTATGATTATTTATAAATTGATAAAATGGGTAATATTTTCCAAATATTTATGTCCATAATTTCACATAATGATAGACTACATAGAAAAAAATCCAAAAATTCATTTGAATGGAATTATAATAACAACATTTTTTCCATTTTCAATATTTTGTGAATATGCTGAACTGCCTTAAACTGAGTATATCTGCACAGTTATCTTCAAGCATGGCATGACTTCATATAATAAATTTGAACTTAAAACAATTAACTAGTGATTTATTTGTTTTCATTGTAATGTATTTTATGTACTGAAGAGTGGTCATCATATTCATAAAATGCTCATTAATGGAATTTGATGACATCTCATTAAAATTATAGTTGTATGATTTAGTTAACCTCAATGTGTTTAGGTTTTGAGAAAGGCTAACTAACAATAGTGGCAAAGGGCTAACACTAATAGCTAATGGCTAACAGCTTGTACGATTGATCATGAAAAAATTATATATTTAACTCAAATTTTAAAGAAAATGCCCGGAACAAAAATAGTATGAGCAAATTCATAATGATTGCACTATAGAATGGCTGTAGAGGTTTCTTACATAGCGTTTCTATCCAAACTTTAGGATAAAGTCATGGAATGGGACACTGGAGAATTGGGTAAAGGTTGGGACAGTGGGGTACAGGGTAAGACTGAAAGTGAGGCTGGTAGTGACCTTGGTCCAGATCCTGACCTTCAACATGACATTGAAGAATTTAACAACCAGATGGAGCTACTGACTCAAGCAAATGTCCTTCTAGAGATTGAACGAGATTCTCTCGTTGACATAAAGGTAGCCATCTTGGCATCTGTGTTGTGAAACGTCTTCTACGAGTGTGGCTTTGAATCTTCCTTTACTCCTTGCTGGTTTCTGGGCATATTCCGCTTACACATTTTTTGCCTTTTAGATTTAAACTTGCCTCTGAGCATATACCAAATATGTACTCATTTCCTTGAATAGTTTTTGGATAAAACTTTCAGAAATGACCAACTAGTATTCAATTATACCCCTATGCATACTGTAGATCCTTGTTCTGTAAACCTTTATACACTTAACTTTCTATGAAGAGTTTATACCCAGAGATTTGCATACAAGAGCCTCATACACAGATCCTTATATACTGAGCCTTTTATGCAGAGCCCTAAACATTCTAATTGTAAACAGAGCCTTGTATGTAGAGCCTTATACAAAGACCAAGTAGAAGCCAGAGCCTGATGACGCCACCCTAACCCCTGCCATTGTAATATGTCATATCCAGAGCACAGAGCCCTATACACTGAGTCTTATATACAGAATCTTATACATGGAGCCGTATACATTGAGCCTTGTACACAGAATCGTATACATGGAATTAAATACATTGAACCTTGAACCTTTTTCATAGAGCCTTATACATTGGGCCTTGTGCATTGTTCACATAAACTACAAAGCCTAATACAAAACCCATGTAGTACACCCCCCCTTGTAACATGCTTCTTTCTCCTGATATAGAGTTCTGTATACCTTATCTGTAAGAGAATAAGATACAACACGTCAGCATTTGAAATTGTCCTCATTTTGTTGCGGTTAATACCATAATTAATATAAATGACCCATCTGTTACTGGAAAATTAATTTTACTGCATTGCTACATCCTGTTGAATCAGACCTCAATATTGCGCACATTGAATTTTTATTTTGACGTATCTGACCTTTGACCTGTCATGATATCTGTTTCCTGCTACAGATTCTTTATTTAGCTTTAGAGTGTGTTCTAAATCAATCAGTGATAATTTAAGGTAGAGAATTTAACATCAAACTTTTGGCGTGAATTATTTATTAAGTATAATATCTTCAGTTTTTGTTAATATACATGTATATAATGTAGTTAAGTTTTATTGCTATTTTTAATTTAATTTCTTCTATTTACATGTATATGTTGTTTTTACACATTTACACATTGATTTTCTCAATATTTCAAAATGTTCATATTCATAAGCTCTAATTTTGTTCATTTTGATATTTGGGAGTGGTTTATCTTTAATGTACTCGAACACAGCTGCCACTTTGATTTATTGATACTCAAGTTGAAGCATGACTCTGAGGTTATTTGATAAGACCCGAAAATACGACAACTATTCCTACATGATGCTCATTGAAATTATGCTTAAACATAAAAATGTTCACAATTGAATAACTCAAATTTATGAGCTTCATTGCAAATTATAGTCGTTTACAAGATGAAAAATGCATGTGACACCCTGTATATAACAAGTGTATGTTTCATATATATTGTATCACCCTGTATTTGTGTATTTGTAGAACAAGGCCACTGTTGAGATTGAAGACCTGAAAAAGAGGAATGAAGAACTAGAAGCAAGCCTTTCTGAGATACAAAATAACTCACAGTACAGTAAGTTATGTTAACTTAAACTTAAACAGGTGAACCCTTATGGGGGGTGGGTGATCTTATATTGAGGAGTAGTAGTGCAGACTTATTTATTAAGCCCTTCTTTTATTTATATTTCATGTACTTTGATCAAAAAGTTTTTAGATGAACTTTTCAGTAAGTGAAATATTTTGTAAACTTTAATCATAATATTATCATCAATTATGTTTAAGTAATAGGTTTATTATTTTATTGTTCTTAATTTAATCAATCAGAATGTCTCATTCAGCATTTGCTCATAAACTCATCAAATGCTTTCAAATATTCATCATCAGTGTCTCTGTGCTCAAGGCTTTAACTACAGTACATGCAGGGTTAAAAAGACTGACTCTTATATTCTTTTCAAAATGCTTCTCCATGCAGGGTTTTAAAAGAATGACTCCTATTATATTCAGTTCATGCCTTTTCCTCATGCAGGGTTTACAAATATGCAATCTTATCATATTCAGTTCAATTTGTCTCCCTCCATTTAGTATTTAGAAAACCCTGCTCAAAGTTCTCTCTCCACACAGCTATAAAAATGTACAAATTTCTTGCTCCATACAGGGTTTGTAAAAAGGTTACCTTTCAGGCAGTGAAGATATAGGGTTTAAAAAGATGCACTATTATTATCTTCAGGTTAAAGTTTTCTATCCACGCAGGGTTTAATATGTTCACGGGGTTTGAAAAAATATATTATCTTATAGGCAGTGAAGATGTGGATGCACTTGAGCGCAGTCTACATGAGGCTGAGAGCAAAGCTACAGGATTGAAAGAAGAGAATGAACAGCTGGTACAAAGCCTAGAGGAACTGGACCAACAACATGAAGTGGCTGTTACTCAAATAATCACAGCCAGGTAGGTTCAAAATGAGATTAATTCTTATGCAACATGATTATCCTGGGAGATGGAAATTTAAGCAGGAGATGAGTATCCATTGCAATTAAACTAGATAGAGTCAAAGTTAACGAAAAAGTTATGAAAGTAAATCAAAGAGATAAAAAGGAAGAAATTCCTGCAACTCTGAATGTTAACTGTATTTCAGAGACCAACTTCAAGTGCAACTAAAGTCCATTCAGTCGATGAACCAGGGACTGCAGGAACAGATGGATGCCTTAAACAGTCAAGTCCTTAGCAAGAATGAAGAGATCAAAGAGCTAGAAAAGGACCTTCGTGATGAACTTGACCAGAAGCTTCAGGAGTTAGAAGATACCCAGGAGGAACTGAACCGATCGGTGAGCAAGAATTCGACTGCTGAACAAGCCTTAAACAATATGAGAAAACATGCTGAGGAGCGGGAACGTAATGTGACAAACCTACAGAAACAACTGAGATCGATGGTGCAGGAGAAAGAACAGTTAAAGCAAAGAGTAGAACAGCTCCAGAAACATGTCACACCTCATCAAGAGATGAACTTCGAAGACCCTCAACAATTTGGCCAACAGATGGCAACTGAGGCACTCCGTGATCAGGTCTCGATGCTTGAGGATGATAAACAGCGTCTTCAAGATAAACTCGACGATTTACTGAGTCAGTTAATGCGACAGAGACAGCACGAAAATAACAATGAGGAGGAAATCATTCTCCTCCAGGAGGCTTTCGATGCCCAAGCTGTTGAACTAACAACCACACAAAACGACAATGAAAAACTCACCAAGGAGATGGAAGAACTGACAGCTAAAGTTAAGACTAAAGAGTTTGAGTTGCAGGTTGCTAACAAAGCAAGGAATGACTTGGCTACACAGGTACAAGCTTTGCTTACTAAGACTGAATCAAATGAGTTACAAACGCAGAATGAAGACGACACTGTTAAAGCAAAGCTTGCTGAGGTTATCCAATTAAACCAAGAGCTTGAAAATGAAATTACAACCCAGAAGCAAGTTGTAGCCGAGTACCAATCACAAATTGAGGCCAAGGACAAAGAAATGGGAAATATCAAGCAACAGCTTGAGAAGGGTGCCATGGCTATTAATGACCTCCATATGGACAAGAAGGAGTTAGATAAAAAGGTTAAAGATCTGCAGGAGAAACTAGTTGATCTCCAAAAGGCTAAATCAGATGTTGTGAAGGAAAAACGAGCATTAGAAAAAGATAAGCGTAATTTAGAAAAGTCCTGTAAAACTTTAGAACAGAAGTTGAACACAAGTCGGGAGGAGTTGTGGAATGTAAGCCAAACTGCTGTTGATGTGAATTCACATGATACACTGAAGAATGAATTAAAACATTTGAAATCTCAATTAAATGATAGTCTAGTAGCATCTGATAATTACCAGGGAAAGATAGAAGCTCTTGAGAAAGACATGAACCAAATGGAACTGAGTATGAAGTTAACAGAGTCCGAAAAATCAGATATCGAAGAAAAGTTAAACAATTCTGAGAGTCAAGTTGAATCCTTAACCAAAGAGATCGCTGAACTTCGTGATTCCAAACTACAAGATTTGAATACACAAATCGAAGCCTTGAAAACAGAGAAAGAATATCTAAAGAAAGAACTTGAGGATGTTGAAGAGAAAATGCATGATCAAAAGGTACATTATGATAAATACATTAAGACATTGACTGAAAGCCGAGAAATGAATGCTGACAATCTGCAAGTTGAGCATGATAAACTGATGAAGCAGAGTCACCAACAAGATGTAGCAATGTCGGATATCAAAACCAGATTTGAACAGTTGGAAGAAGAACTTGTTGAGAGTAAAGAGATGCTTCAGTCTACCTTAGATGGACAACAACCACTGAAAGAAGCTCTCGATGAACAAAATGAAGAACTGAGATTACTGAAAGCTGATAATTCAAAATATCATCAGAAGACGACTGACATGACGAATCAGCTCCAGAAGCAAGCGGATGAATTGAAGGAGTTCCACGAAAAGGAGAAACAACGTTTGAATTTATTGGAGGACAATCACCGTCTAAATGATCAAGTTTCAAGTTTGAAAGTGCAGTTAGATTCGGATAAAATAGAATCCCAGACTTTAGATGTAATAACAGATTTAGAGTCTGAAATCACATCCCTTCAGAACCAAATTACTCAACACAAAACTGAAATTACAAAGTTGAACACAGATCTTATGAAAAATGACTCTGAAATTAACAGACTTCAACAAATTGTCAAAGATCAGAGTACAAAGCTTAAGAATCAAGAAAAAGTCATAAAAGATTATAGCCAAGACTTAGAAAATCAACATAATATCTCAGATCAACAACAGCAAAGTTTAACTGAACAGAAAATCAAATTAGAAGAATTATCTGAAAATGAAACTAAATTAAAGAAAGAACTTCAAGATATGAAAGATGAGTTGACCGACATGGAGACTAGTATTGTGAAAGAGAGGCTGAATGGAAGCCTCGTGAACGAGAACCGTCTGCAAAATGGAGATGTAGAGGAAAATGGACACGATGATGAATTTATCATCCCAAGAACAAAGGAGGTAATGTTTACCCAGGAACAAATGCGTGAAAGTATTGCGAGTAAGGACAGCATTATATCAGACCTCCAGGAGAACAATAACTCACTACTGAAAATGCTTGAAAACCAATCATTGGGGAATTATGGGAGCAGGGTACTTGTGGACGTCCACAAACTTCAGTCTCAGGTGCGAACTCTTCAAACAGAGAAGGAACAGATAATGGCGATTCTGAGCGAAAAGACACGAGAGGCTAGTACACTAAAAAGCGAAGTTCACAGACTCATGAGTGTGATTTCTGCCGAGAAATCAGCAATCGCGAAGCTTCAACAAGACAATACAGAGCTCACTAAAAAACGTGAGAATCCAAATGAGGACATGCACAAAGAAACGGTTCAAAAATTATCTACCATGATTCGGGATAAAGACATGGAAATAGAAGCATTAACTCAGAAAAATCACACTCTATTACAGGTGCTACAAGACAGTTCTAACGATGGAACACATATCAACAATCTAGTTCATGAAAAGGAGAATCTTGCAAAACAGCTTCAGATGTATATTAACGATCGTGAACATCTCGTTGCTGCTGTCAATCAAAAACACCAGGAGAGTCTAGCATATCATAATGAAAGTCAAAAATTGAATGCTTCGTTAATTGAGGACATCGCCAAACGGGAAAAACTAGAACAAGAACATTCCAAATTGATGCAAGAGTTTGAAGAAAAACAAAAAGCGTATTTAAAAACTCAAAATGAACTTGTGAATTATAAACAAAAGTTTACCGAATTGGACAACAAATATACAGAGAGTAAACAAAAAAGTGATTCCACCTCTCAACCAATTGCAGTAGATTTAAATAACACCGTAGAGCTTTCAGTGTTCGAGGAAAAATGTCAAGAAGTCGACCATTTAGCTAAAGAAATAACAACGTTAAACCAGTCGATAAACGAAAAAGAAATAACAATTGATAAAATGAATGCCCAGATGACTGAAAGTAACGCCAAATTGAACTCTAGTCAAAACACTATCACCACCAAAGATACAGAAATCTCAAATCTAAAACGTGAAATTGACAATACAGCATTCCAACTTCAAACTGTCAAAAATGAAATGAATGATGCCTTACGTGATAAACAAAACCTTGAACAACACATCCAGGAGTTGACGTCTGAGAACACATTTTTAAAAGAGAGCCAAACACGACTAACAATGTCTAATCGTGAGAAAGACTTTGAGGTAGAATCGCTGAAGGAAAAGGCTGCGACACTCACAGCGCTCGTGACGGAGAAAGATGGGGCGCGTGGTGAAACGGAGAGACTCCTAGTTGAGAGTGAGGCCATGCAGACTCAAGCGAAGACGTTCCAACACGAGAGGGACCAAGTGATGTTAGCTCTGCAGCAGCGGGAACAAGAAATACAACAGCTCAATGCACAGGTGAGTATAGAAAATAAAAATATGTAAAATTGGAGAGAAAATGATATAGCTATCATCATGTTCCAAGAATACTGAAGTTCTAAAATGGTTAGCCAATATTTTATATGTGGTTACCATTTCTTATGCAGGAAGAGAAATAGACCAAAGCTGACATTTTTGCTTTTCTTGTAAATATGACATTCTCATTTTAGCTTGCCATTGGTCTTGAAAGGGAGGCTAAACTAGAAAAGAAACTAGAGCGACTTCAAGGTCACTTGATTCAGATAGAAGAAGCCTACACCAGGGAAGCCCTCGATTCAGAGGAGAGGGAGAAGGAACTGAGGAATAAACTCCTAGAAGCGGAGGAACGAGCCAATTCGCAGTCAAATGCTGTACAAACTGCAAGGTATAAAGGAATTTTCTCCAAAATTAACACTTTTTGGTAATGAAAAGCCCAAGATATTATTGATTTCTTCAATTGGGATGTTGATCAGAATAAGTTTCATTGGTCTTGTTTTGCCAAAATGGTTCAGTGAAAATCAGTGTATGATAAGCATATTTTTGTGTCTGGTAAGATCAATGCATTTTGTCACAAGAACTGGCTGACAGTGGCGATTTTATGATTTTTGACTGGTTTATGAGTTAGAACATTTGCACCTATATAAGCAATAACTATGTTCAAAAAATTGAAAGTCTATTTTTCCATATTCAGCGAGCATGCCAGCCACCAAGTGAGCAACATGGAAAAGCAGCTTCATGCTATGGCTGAGCAGAGAGATGCAAGTATGCTGCAGCTTGCCACAACCCAGGAACAGCTGCAGCAATATGCAGCTGCACTCAACAATCTGCAGATGGTCCTGGAACAGTTCCAAATGGGTGAGTCACAGAAATTCTAATTGAGTAATATTCAAAATCTATGAAATAGATAATTGTAAACATTCCATGTTTCACGATGAACTCAACGAAAAATTTAATAATTTTTAAGTTTTGATATAACCAGCTGAAAAGGAGGATTGCTTTGATATCAGATTTGAAGAATTGAATACATATTTGAATAAATAATATTTGAATGAATCTTAATGTTGATATAAACATTTGAATGAATAAGCATTTCAATTGTGCATTATAGAAAAACAAGCGATGGAGGCGGCCTCTAGTGAGAAACACCAACAAGAACTCTCTGCAGCAAAACTTGTTGAACAACAGCTGCGGGCACAGCTGAATAACATGGAGGTAAGTCACAGTACATCTGCAAATCTGGTTTTCTTTCTAATTTTGGAAATGTGGTCTGTTAATTACAGCCTTATAGGACTGGCTACATGCTGAATTTCTAAGATATTGATATTGAGAGCATACACAAAATGCATCTCGAATATAAAATAAATCTTACGAAACAGAATACTAACTGTATTGTATTGTATTGTATTGTATTGTATTGTATTGTATTTCATTCGATTCTGTGTATTGTTTTGCATTGTAATTCATTCAGTGAGATATGTTTTATATTAAATTGTATTGCATTGCATTTTAAGTGATCTAATTGTATTGTATTGCATTCCATTTTATTATTGCGTCATATTCTAGATCCAGTTGCAAGAGACCACAAGTGCTTTGGAAGCAGCAGAGAGACTCAGTGAACAACTTGACAGAAAGGAAGATGTCATACGTGCGCTCAAAGAAGAAGGTATTATACACTTTTCTGTCATCTTTGCTGTTATTTGGACGGATGAGTATATCAGGATTCATGCTTATATATAGTCCTAAGAGTACTATGCATAAGGATGTAGTGGTCAAAATAATATGCTTCAATAGAACACCTTCTTTACCAACTGTGTGTCAGAGTACTGTATGGTACTGTTGTGGATCGACTGTGTTGGAAAATAACATGGCAACTGGACTGTAAATTACTTTTGACCATTATATCCAAAATCAGTATGATACATCTGGATCCTGCTCACAATACCCTCACAGTACCCATCCTTTTCCATCTACCCATAAAAAAGCCTTTTGTAGTTCCTTAAATCAGCTATGGACTCCCAACATATCTTAACTGCCTCACATGACCTACTTACAATAATTCACTACCTTTTTCATATGATCCTTATGTATAAATGATAGAAACCTTTCCCAATGACCCATGAATACAATAATCGTAATCATATAATGAGGATGTAACATATCCTTATCTTGTCCTTATCCTTATCCTTGAATTGTACCTAACACTTTCCAATGAATTGTTTCACTCCCCATAAAGAGATATACCTTTTGATAGGGTGTAACACCTCCCTGTGAGGGTAATATTGTGTAACGCATCCTAATGAAAGAAATAAGGTGTAACATCTCAAATAAGTTGTAAAATAGTGTGTAACACCCCCTTATGACAGAATTGTACAGATGAAATGGTGCAAGCACTCAGCGAAAGAGTTCACTCCCAATATATGAGTATCACCTCATAATCATAGAAATAGGGATGTAATGCCTCCTAATGATAGAAATAGGGGTGTAATGCCTCCTAATGATAGAAATAGGGGTAGTGTTTTAATCTCAGCTGGTAATTCGGAGTGTTACAGATCCCCTTGTTGCCAGCAGGGGTTAAAGCAATACCTGCATGAACCCGCTAACCTCACAGCTAACTGCATCGCTAACACGCTAACTACCTTCAATACCTAACCATCTATAATGCAGATACTAGGATAACACCCATGCCCAATATATGAACATTAAGATAACACCCATGCTCATTTTATGAATACTAGGAAAACACCCATGCTCATTATATGAACACCAGGATAATACTTTTGCTTATTCTATGGACATAAGGATAATCCCACACATAAGGATAACAACCATTTACATAAAATGCAAATTATGATACCATCTTGTGCACAGTTTAAATATGTTAAGCAAAACTCCTCATAGGATATTCATTATATAAGAACTGTCAGATATTTTCATTTTAGGAAATCAATCTGTTATGTCTTTTTGACATTTAGATTATATTGGTTAACATCAGTATAACATGCATGCTCATTACAATGTGGACATATGGATAACTCTTTTGTTTCATTATATGAACACTAGGATAACACCTTTGCTCAATATATGAACACTAGGATAACACCTTTGCTCATTATATGAACACTAGGATAACACATTTGCTCATTATATGACCGCTAGGAAACACCTGTGCTCATTATATGAATGTGTTAAGGTGGGCAGAGTACAAAAACTTCTGAACAAACTTACTTAATCTAAGAAAGATATTTAAATTGTTGCTGGAAAAATAAGTTATTACATATTTCTTGTTACATTTAAGATAGTATGAAAATTGCATGACTTTGGTAAACTTGCATGTTCTCATTATTTTTGTAATATAATATAAAATGCATGTATGCTATTCATTTCTTGTATAACATCTATTGGTGACTGTACTGTCTCCTCATACTCCACCTATTGGTGAAATTACTTATTACTATTACTCCACCTACTGGTGGCATTTCTAACTACTAATACTCCACCTATTGGTGAATTGACAAACCATGGCTGTTGCATGCTCTCTGTTTGTTTTCTGTCTCCATAGCAACTTAATATCAGCTGGTAATTCTGAGGTTTGCTTTTCACTCAGGTTGCCAACTGATATATGGTTGCCATGGTTGCTTTCACTCTTTGCACCTGGATACTAAACTCTAACATTTCTGTTCTTAAGTTATTCACTTTTAATTCTATATGTTTATGGATTACTTTTAAGTTTGTGATTCATGGATAGAACATATTTCATGGATGCTGCACTATGGATACTTGTAATTCTTTATGGATACTATTGTTGGTACCGGGTACTTGTAATTCTTGGATTGGAAGATATAGGTACTTATTCATATTTGGTTACATTTTCTTTATTAGCACAATTTATATTCTAGTTTATGAGAAGTGTGCACACATTTTGTTCAGTTCTATTTCATAAAGTATTCTTGTTATAATGTAGTTCCCCAAAACCTTTCCTGTAGTGTTGGTAAACTAATCTTATAGTGCAAGTAAACTATTCTTTTAGTGCTGGTAGACTATTTATATAGTAATGGTAAACTATTCTTATAGTACTAGTAAACTGTTCTTATAGCGCTGATAAACCATTTCTACACTGCTTGAAAAATATTGTTATAGTGCTGATATACTGTTTTTATAGTGCTGTTCATCTATTCTTATAGTGCTGATAAACTATTCTTATAGTGCTTGTAAACTATTCTTATAGTGCTGGTAAAATATTCTTAAAGTGCTGGTAAAATATTCTTATAGTGCTTGTAAACTGTTCTTATAGTGCTGGTATACTATTTTTTATAGTAATGGTAAACTATTCTTATAGTGCTAGTAAACTATTCTTATAGTGCTGGTAAACTATTCTTATAGTGATATTTTATAGTACTATTTTCATAGTGTCAGTGTTCTCTTGTCTCTGTATATATGCATAATAGAGTTAACCCTTTGCTAAGAATCTAATTCAGTTTGAAAAGGTCTTGTATATATTGTTACTAAAATCAACGCAAAGTAGCTAAGGATAAGATAATTAGTTAAGTTGAATTAAGTAATTACATTAGTGTATGATAACCTTTTAGCTATTAGATTATTATATAAGTGCATAATAACATTGAAACATGCATAATAACACTCATGTTAAATAGCATGTTGCAGATTAACATTAGTTTTAAGATAGAATGTGTGTATAATAATAATGGTGTTTAACATGCATTCTTTGTATTTTTCATTCTTAAATGTTGTGATACAAGTACAGTTTTTAGTAATACTATTTTAATAGTTTGTGGGTTTGGATATTTATTAGTATAATATATATTAGATAAAGTAATCATTTTTATTATTAACATACTGCTTACTGCTTTGGATGCGTTTAAATAACAAGGCCTTGGATTTTCTCGCCAGGTTCAAAGGAAAACTTAAATAACAAAATATTTCCTTTGTACTTTGGCCAGAAAAAACATGACTTGTATATAGATGCTCAGATGCTTTGTATTAATGAGATTTTAATGCTTTGTATTAATGAGATTTTAATGCTTTTAATGAGGTTTTAATGCTTTTAATGAGGTTTTAATCTCAGCTGGTAATTCTGAGATTGACTTTAACCCTCAGATTCCCAGGCGAGATTATACCCTTGTTATTACTAACGAGCCACCCGGGAGCTGAAGGGTTAATTTGTATAATAATACATTTTATTGTTAATTTGTTGTTGTGTCATTTAGATTAATATTTTCTTCATCTTCATAGACAGTCTTGGATTTTTACTAAATATTACATGAGATCAACTTTTGCATTCAATTTGAGATGGGCCTTCAACCCTTTGATTTAAAGTCCCAACCCTTTGACTTGAACTCACAACCCTTTGGTTTCAACTCTCAACCCTTTGATTTGTATTCTCAACCCTTTGATTTGTACTCTCAACCCTTTGATTTGAACCCTCAACCTATTGATTTAAAGTCCCAACCCTTTGATTTGTACTCTCAACCATTTGACCCTCAACCATTTGATTTGAATTCCTAACCATTTGATTTGTACCCCCAATCCATTCATTACTAGCAAAATAATCTACCAATAAGCTACAGTACTTTAGAAATTGATGATAAACAAAAGAAGGGGGAGAGTCTGGGGAGTGAGTCTGGGGTTATGCTCACTTGCTAAATACAAGACTGTACTAAAGATAAGGGTTTGTTTAGAAAAATAGATATCATAATATACTTAATTTGGTTATGGTTTTGATTATTATGTATAATGTCTAGCTAGTCTGATATCTATCATACTATAAGAGGGAGGTATTTTCCCATGTGTACTTGAAGCACTTCCTCTGCGGGTCTATTATTATGCTTTGTGTATAGTTAACATTTTCTAATTTAATACTTTTTAAGATAGTTTAATACTTACTTTTTTATGATAAGGATTTGACAGGAGGTACACACGCATCAATGCTTTGAGGAGATATATTAAAACTAAAGTTAACAACAAGAGTTTGGACGATGTTTTCAATTGTCTTACACCCAGGAGATTAAACATGTCACATTGTAACATGGATTGGTTATCTGAATCTTAACATAATGAAACATGATTTGAGTTTAACATTGAAACATGACTAACTGAGTATAACAGATTCGAAGGTGCATGGTTAAATGTGTGTAACATACTAAAGCATGGATGACTGAGTTCAACAAAATGTTCCATGCACAGTGACTGAGTTCTGTATAAGACAGAATGCAGAGTCAACCAAGTTGATCGTGTTGCACCTTTTATGGCTAACTGTGTCTAACATATTGCAACCTGTCCAGAGAATAATATTTTAACATGCTTGAATAACTGAGTCATATTGAAACATGCTTGGAAAACTGAATTGTATTGAAACATGCTTGGAAAACTGAGTCATATTGAAACATGCTTGAATAACTGAGTCATATTGAAACATGCTTGGAAAACTGAATTGTATTGAAACATGCTTGGAAAACTGAGTCATATTGAAACATGCTTGAATAACTGAGTCATATTGAAACATGCTTGGAAAACTGAATTGTATTGAAACATGCTTGGAAAACTGAGTCATATTGAAACATGCTTGGAAAACTGAGTCATATTGAAACATGCTTGGAAAACTGAGTCATATTGAAACATGCTTGGAAAACTGAGTCATATTGAAACATGCTTGGAAAACTGAGTCATATTGAAACATGCTTGGAAAACTGAGTCACATTGAAACATGCTCGGACAACTGAATTGTATTGAAACATTCCTGAATAACTGAGAATAACATGTTGGGTACAAGAAATTGTAGCATGCCTGGTGAGATGAGTGACATTGCAGTATATTAACACTAATGGCATGCAATGTTTGAGTATTACATCAGGTACTGATAACTCTAACCTCAGTGCCTTATGTAGTGCCCTCATGTTGTATTGCATAACCATCTAATACTAGAACACCCTGTGTGAGAGAATATTGCAGCATTGCTAACATGGATTGCAGTTTGATAATGAGGATTGCATTTTGATAACAAGGATTGCATTTTGTTAATATGGATTGCAGATACGGAGGATTGCATTTTTATGATGAGAATTACATTTTAATGAGGATTGCATTTTGTTAACACAGATTGAATAATCCTAATGAAGATTGCATTTGGCTAACAAGAATTGCTGCTAACAAGAATTCTGATCTGATAGCAAGAATTTCCTATTTGGGAACAAGTACTGCATTTCCTTATGAGGATTGCACATTTCTTATAAGGATTACACATAATATTACACATGGAAATAAGATGGCAGATGTATTTATGGTATACGTATGTACCTAGGAAGAATTGCATACTCATAAACCAGGATTGCATTTAGTTGATAATCAACTAGCAAGGATTGCACATTTATGTGACATTTTTCTTACAGTAATCGCACATGATTGCTCATTAATGTGATGTCAAACTTTGCATAAATCTAACAACAATTGACATTATTCATTGATTAACAGACTATATTAATTTCTTTCCCACATGCCTTATATATATAGACTATTGTCTTTGTAGGTATATCTTTATTAATGTATGTACTGTTTGTACTTGTAGTTCTGCTGAGGGAGGCCGCTTGTACCAAGGCAGAGGAGGAGCTTCAGAAACTTTTGTCTGTCAATCAGGATAGGGTCGACAAGTAAGTATGATAAAATGAATCTTTTAGACTTTTTCAGTGTACAATAAAACCTGAGTTATCTGACCTGCAAGGCAAGTTGTCTTAACATCAAGGTTTTTAACATGAACTTATTAAGTATTTTACTATTAACATGTTTAATATGCTTCACATGCATTCATATTAGACCTACATGGTTTTCATTTGTTGGTCCATATATGGTCCAATTATGTTGGTTGTAATTCACAATACACAAATAACAAAGGACGATTCTCGGTTTGGAGAACGAAGTTCATCAATATAAATGAGCATTATCCCTGCTTCGGACAAATTTGATTTTTTTACATAATATAGAGTTGAAGGTCTTCTTTTGAATGGTCATAATTTAATTTGGGTAATATTTCTAGATTTTTCGCAAAAAAATATTAGCGCAGTACACTTATGAACTTTTTTCCCCAAATCGAGACTTGTATTTTATTGAATCGGTCTAATTGATCGTTATCCCTGCTTCAGACCAATTTGTTATTTTTACATCTTGTAGATTTAAATGTCCTCTTTTGAATATTCATAGTTTAATTTGGGTAATATTTCTATATTTTTCATGAAAAAAATTATTAGCCCAGGAGACTGTTCTTCAAACCGAGAATCGTCCTTTATTATTAATTGTTTTGTTTTTTTAGAATTGTGATTAAAAATCTGTTTGTTGGTTACTTTGGTGCTGGATACGGAAAACGCAACGATGTTCTGAAGCTGATTAGTAACGTACTGGACTTCACACATGAAGATAATGAAAAGGTCAGTTGGACATCTAAAAAGTAATGAAGCAAATTGATGCTAAAGAGTTAAATAGAGGGCAGCACTGACAGGGGAATTGTGGGATAGAAACCTCTGAATGAATATTAGTATTATCCTAAGGGGGGATTAACCCCAAAGTTCAAAGATGACATACGCTTATAATGTAAACCTGTATTGATATGATGTACACCTCTGATTGGTCCAAATTAATTAAACATCATGACGACGTGTTATATTCGAAAACTAAATGGTGAGAATTTGCCCAAACGAAGGTGGTACGCAAGAGACGTAATATGTCAGTCATAGATAAAGCTCTTTATTATTCTCCAATACGTTCATGCATTGATATTGCATTTATGTTATTACATTACATTCATCTATTGACTTTGCATTCATTTATTTATATTGTATATGCATATATTCAGGTTGGTTTAGAGCAGCCTCCTGGAGCAAGTAAATGGTTGCCAGGCTTCCTGAGGGGTACTACCCCCACACCTCCCTCCACCCCCAGGGCTACCAAGAAGCCGGATCCTAATGGGGTAGGTGTATTTTGATTTTATATTTATAATTCAATATGTGATAAACATCACACCTGTTGTCATATAATGTACATGATACTATGCTTCATTATATAATGTCCATGATACTATGCTTCATTATATAATGTCCATGATACTATGCTTCATTATATAATGTCCATGATACTATGCTTCATTATATAATGTCCATGATACTATGCTTCATTATATAATGTACATGATACTATGCTTCATTATATAATGTACATGATACTATGCTGCATAGTTCATCTGAAAGTATACATATATACATATAATTTTGTATTATTTTCATTCCAGTCATTTTCACAACTTTTTGTGAAATTCCTGGAAGTTGAGTCAACACCTACAAAGGTACCAACGCTTCCAGCCGAAGAAATGGCCAAAGAGGAATTACAAAAACAAAAAACTCCATTTAACCCATTCTCTGCGACAAGCACTCCTCAGGGGTATCGGCATACCCAGGGGGAGCACCCCCAGGGGCCAGGGTTTAATCCATTTTCTGCTGCGAGGCACGCAAGTGTGCCGCTTCAAACAACACTCCAACTTGGTGATAAGGCAAAACCAGAGACTATGTCTACGTCATTACTAGGGGGCGCTCAAGACAGTTCACATTTATTGATGCAACCACCAGCACCCTCTATGCCCATGTTCGGCTCATTAACTCTTCCTTCGAATGAATCTACCGCTCCTGGGAATAAAACTAACTCTGGGAGGAATACTCCTTCGAACATACTAAAAGATGTTTTACAGACTGACACGAGTAAAACGTAGCATTTAGAATAGTGAGCTAAGAATATAATCCTTAATATTATTTATTCACCTGTTTGAGTTGATCATTGTCCTTTCCAATTCAAGCCATTATTTATCAATACAATTAAATATCAATACAATTATACATTGTATGGATACAATTATCCATAACAATACAATTATACATTGTATGGATACAATTATCCATATCAATACAATTTTACATTGTATCGACAATTCTGAACAGAGGCTTCACAAGGGATTGTGTACAAATGTTGATATTTGTCGGAAAATATGTCGAACTTTCTTCAATTCCATATGTCTTGCAGTAAATTATTTCAAGTTTATTTAAAATTTGGATTGTGTTCCTTTTTTTTATTCTTTTTTTTACAAAAACCTTTTTTCTGAAATGTTTCAGGATAATCCTCCGAATTTTAAGGTTATCTGTCAAAAACTTTCAAAATTAATGTTCACTTTTCAAATATACCATTTTCCAAGAATACTAAAATTTGAACACAAGGTGAAAGGTGAAATGAATTTTCTGAAAGAAATGTATGACAGTCCATATTTATTTTTAAATTAGGTGAATATTTAATATCACCAAAGTCTTTATGTTAAAATGTATTTTTACATTATGTGCCAGTCGATGTTAAATTTTTTCATTAATCATTGGTGGTAGTGTTCAGTTTTTAAAACATTAGTCAACTTTTTTTGAAAAAGTAAAGATTTCTCCAGCTGTCAATTTGATTGAAAATTATAATGTGTGTCAACTGAAAATTATTATGTGTCAACTGCTGTTCTTATGTGTGTCTTTTTACAAATTAATGTAAAAGTAATCTTTGTATTTAATGAAATTTACTTCTGTATTTCAACAGAACTGAAATGTTTATTAAGATAAGTTCTTTCGAAGTTGTTTGAAGCAAATAGTTTGCAATTATTTATTAAATTGAAATCATGATAAAAGTGATTAATTTGATGAGTTGGGTGTAAAAAGAAAATCTAATTTATGCATCATTATTATTATACAGAATTGTTAGAGTATTTTCATGTACCTATGTACATTTGTATATGCACTGGGGTAAAATGAATAAAAGAATGAAAACACAAACTGCTCTATGTATGTTTTAGTTTTTATGGGAAGTACTATCTACCATAACTAAGCTTTACGAATGCAACATCTGGGTGTCTGCTACTGTGTTACCTACTATTTTATGAACAAACTAGTAGTGGCAGTTACTATTTATATTTAAATGAGTTGGCCATAAAATAGTAGTTAATCCAGTAGCCGGTATCCGAAAGTTGCATTCGCAAATACAAGCTTAAGTACTCATATTTCTGAGAGTTTTAAGAAAATTGAATGCCCCAAACCATCAATTGTCAGAATGCTATCACCTTCTATGATTTGGACATTTTTCTGAATAAATTAAAGTTTGATATAGTTCCAAACTCATTGAAAGAAGTTGCAGCTTTTCAAATTTTGGATCAACTTTTTTACGATTTACGCTTTGATATGAGACTGGAAATACAAAGTGCAAGAAATACATGTATATATGTAATTTTATACGTAGGAATTGCACTTAAAGTGCAAAATGGATTAATTTACAAGAAGTGTTATACATGTCCTTAATGTTTCATTATAAACATAACACTGATATATCTTTCGAAAATAATATCATTTATTCATTGGCTGGAGAATATCAAGATAATCTCGGGTCTTCTCGTAAATGGATCGACACATAAATGCAATATTTCAATAAATATTTCATCATAAATTAAATGCACACAAATTGAGACTGTCACAAAGCTGCCATATGTTGTCTCCCATCGAACTCCTTTTTTCTGCGTCCTACCAATATTTTTAAACATTTATATTGAGGGGCATATCTGGGATATAAAATTAGGCGATCTTAAAATTCAGAGGTGAGAAAAGGCTAAATGAGGTATATTTTGCTTCCTGGGACTCCATCTTCTTCAGTTTTATTGGAAAAACTTCGGAATATATATATCTGTCAATATTTGTGAGGCATGTCTCAGCTTCATGATGACTGACTATGTCCATGTACATATTTGTGGTATTATTATCATTTTACTATCATTCAATATCTTATAAATAAATGGTCGTTCATATATGAGAATTGCTGTGACAACTTGTTGCAGTTTGAAGTCCTCGTCTTTATCAAAAATAAATAAAATATTTGTTTCACTGAAAAGCAGTAACACATTTTGTCCCCGCCTTTTATTTTTAAAATTTAAATGGAGTATGATAATTGACCCCTTTACATTTTATACCATGTGAGGAGAAGCTTCAAAAATGCAATGCTGGAACTTTAACTGGAACTTAAAAGTACATGTACTTGGAATTATTTAGGTTGTCTTGACCTCTGTAGTAAGTTATGTCACATTTTCAAAATGCATAATGTTATGAGGTCGATTACTAAGTAGCACATTTAGCTTTTGAGGTCATCCTAAAAAATCTAAAAGGAATTGGTGCCTATGTACACTTTGTCGTAAAACTATTCTCGTGTCAAGAACTAACCCTGTAGACTTGCTAGGATGACCCTGTAGACAAGTCATCCTAGAAGACAATCCTGTCGATAACACTCTAATATGGAAAGCCCGTAGTAGATGTAAGATGAATCGATATTGGTAGCGTCTTGGAAATAAAACAACTACTTAGATGGCTCTGTATACATCTTGGATGGCCACTGTTTGTTACAAGGTAATATTTTCCGTGACGGTCTTTGAATTTGTCAGCATAGTATCCCATAACATGGTGGTTTTCACACGTTGGAATGGTATTACAGCCTCCCTGTAATGTAATCAGACAACGATGATTTTTCTGTACTTTTTATGATTACGATTACCGACAATTAATGATAGAATCAATATTTTAAACATGAGATTGTAAAGATTTTTTACATGTTATGGTGAAATACATAGTTTGAAATACATAATTCTGTAAACTTGATTCTTATTATTTGGGATATTTCGCAAAATTCATAAACTCAATGGATCAAAATTCTACATTGAGGTATTTTTACATTTTACATATCTGTTGATACAACATTACAACCCAAATCCACACTATGGCTCTATACGGAAACGTGTTTTACCGTACCCTATGGTACCATAGCTGAAATGGTACCATTTATTGCTGAACTTACTTGCTTGACATTATCTGTAGCTAAATTGCATGGTTGTGCTATAAATTCACAACTAGAGTCTATGGATTCCTTAAATAACTCAGTGCTCCTTGCATGGTGACATATACTTAAACCTGAAAAATATACAACAGTTAAGTCCACTCCATGTTGCAAGAGGGATATCTCTAATTTAATGTAGGTAGGGAATATACCAGTTGCACTTACTCGAATTCCTGAACTGAACACAAATACAAAAGGATTTAAGATCACATCATTCATTTTGTCATTAAAATTGCAATATGTCCAAATGGGCCCACTTTTGAGAAAGGAAGAGGTGCGTTTATTGGCAAATAACGGAGAACGCACCTCTTCCTTTATTCAAGTGCAAACAAACACCATCAATCCTTACCCCTCTTTTTCCTTTTCCTCCTACAACCTGGCTGATCACCACCCCCATTGGGGTAAAAGTCTACGTGGCCCACAGGTCGCATGATGCCATAATCTACGATGTTAAACCATCCTGAGCCCCACGCATCTGTGTGGATTGCGTCAACAAAGTCGGCATCTGTAGGGTCAAGTCTATGGTCGGGGCCGAAGAATTCAAAAAGTGGACCAGCTGGATCTAAACCTGTTGGATTAAACACGGATGAGTCATCAATCTTTTTGGACATTTGGGATTCCCGGCCGTGCTGTTGTGTATTTACTTATATGGATTATAAGCCAATGAAATGTTGATAATACCCCTTTATTTTTTATATTACTGATAGATGGCGTTTAACTCACCAGTAATTCTCTTCAGTGTATTTTCTTTGCCGATGAATCCGCAAACATGAGACCCAAGACTGTGTCCTATACAATGTATACGCTTCGGGTCAAGTTTGAGTACATCCATTAGAAATGTACTGACCATTTTCCCAACGAGTTGGCCATTTGAGCTAGCCCTGTTGTAGTCAAGCAGGTATTTGGCCCCCTCCTCCCAGTCAATGGAAACCAAATTGAAGTCATCCTTGAACTGATACAAAGCTGTTATTGTGTTAATAAGTCTAATTCACACGTGGCTACGTAAGGTGTGTCCAGTTAAAAAATATTTTGCAATGTGTGGAAAGAATCAATGCCCTCGACCCAATGCATTGTGGCTGATTCATTCCATTAGGGCGTTGTCTCGAGAAAAGATTTGTACAAAGGAACAAAAAGCAAATGCACTAAAAAATGTTAAAAAACCAATCTATATATAAAATATATATAAATAATTTTCGCATTTAGTTGTTGTTAACCAGTCAACATTATTTAAAGGACCGTGTTTTTACAGAATGTTTTCAATAATTGGTTTAAGAGAAAAACATTGTTCAATGCAGTTCACCATATCGATACCTATCCTTTCATAAAGAAGGCATACATATATGGAGTGTTTTATCTGCAATGATTCTAAAGTGTCTGCCCGGGGTTCTACTCAAATAGTTAACTTAACTAACCTCTTTACTGAACACCCCTCGTGTCTCTCGTATCCATTCTACCGTACCATATGAGAGAAATCCGTGGGAGAATAATTTGGTTTCCTTGTTCGGATCCAGCAAATGACTACAAAATATAACATCTTAGTATAATTTGTTTGACATACATAATACATTATATGGTGCCCTTATTATAAACTACATGTACATGTATATAGCTCTTTTAACAAAAAAGCATCAGAATCTTCAAAAATTTCACTATGAATTTCCAGACGCCTTGGAATATGTTAGCTTTTGATGAATGTACAAAGAAGATATCGTATAGGATAAATAGATCATCCTATATTCGGTTCTGGATATTGGGCTTACCCCTTGTCAAATATATTATCCCTGCCATTGGGACACCCTGTCATCAGGCCGATGTATTAAATTGGCTAAGGGATAAACTCAATATCCCAAACCCCATATAGAATCCCTATATACGTTCTTACCCCGTATGCTCATTCAAGCATCTATATTGGTCGCTACCAGGTTCTTTGACGAGTAGCTTTAGTTTAATATCACGCGGGTGATCTGGTAAGACATTAAAGGGGGATTTACTGTAGCAGCAGCTAAGTTGCTCAAAACAGACCTTATCCGCAGTTCTGAAAAGTAAATACTTTCCTATATACCACGCATGATTTTTTTCAGATTTGTGATTTATAAAGTGCTGTACTTGAAAAAGATTGACAAAATAGATTGCAATATATTAAAAACAACTGCTTCCTCACAAAATTACAGTATATCAAACAAATTACAATTCACGATTTTAGAGTTAGAAAATGGTAGAGAACTATAAAATAAATATTTTTACATGAGATAAGATTTACATTATAAGAGATACATTTTTTATTTGTAGTACTTTTATAATTCAATTACCAAGACAACAGGATAGTAAAATAACCATATATAAATAATGATAATAACACAATAATAAAACAACAGTTGATTTTGATCTATTTAATAAACATGACATTAAATTGACTAACTGTGTTTAAACAAATCAGATTACTCATCAATAAAAATCAAAATGGAAACTTTGCAAATGTTTGCATGTTTACCAGTATCCAATGATGCGTACTATTTGCAATTAGCAATGAAATATTCAATTTGCAAATATTATTATGTGTTGGCAGGCGTCACGAAGTTAACTTTTTTCGAAAAATATTTCAAATTCAAAACAACAATTCAATGATGGATGCCATTTTAATTTTGCTTAAAGGACTTCAGACAAGTTTCTAAATTTTGCAACATCTTTTGCTGTCATATCATTTTCATGTTATGCCCTTTGGCCATGTTCAACAGTTCTAGCCTTGATGCCAATTTCAATTAAAGCTTTGGAGTGAAAAATTAAATGATCAAGATAATGTTGATTTGTTCAGCTCCTCACCATTTAGTTAATTAACGGGGTTTAATATACCCTTTTCAGATCAAATAATTCATACCTGTTTTCTTTGACTGACTCATAAAGGTAGCATATTTCTGAAAAATAAAATAAGGTATAAGAATGAGATGTTCAATGTTTTAGACTCTAGGTTACTTTAAATGCTATCAACGCCGAGTTACCTTCAGCCAGATTGGGTATGCCAAGGACACTTTCAATTTTAGTCCCCAATGATAATAAGGTGTCACGAGTTTGTTTAGATCATTTGAAAAAGCACTGTACGAGGGGTGATTCATAAGTAATGAAATAAATTATATAACTTCACTGATGTTGCATAGATCGATCTTGTTCGAATTCGGTACGCAGAATCACACGAACTGTCACTAATTTCAGTAAGCCGAAATCGGAATAAGGTCACGAAATTTATCAAGCGATTGAACAACAAACTCTATCATTATAACTTAAAAGTCTGACTTACCCGTCTCGCAGAGCTGTCCAGTGTGTGACTTTGGACAGCTACATCGAAAACCTACGTCTGAGCCATCGCACGTGCCTCCGTTCTTACACGGGGAACTGGAACATTGATTAATTTTGATACCTAGGTAGAAAAAGTGTATGATGTTCAACATTTTATGGCGTTCAACATTCTATGGCGTTCAACATTTTATGGCGTTCAATATTTTATGGCGTTTAACATTCTATGGCGTTCAACATTTTAAGGCGTTCAACATTTTATGGCGTTTAACATTCTATGGCGTTCAACATTTTATGGCGTTCAATATTTTCTAGCGTTCACCATTTTATGGTATTCAGCATTTATTTTATCAACTCTTTAATTTGAAATGTACAAGCGAAGTTTTGCACCTTTATAAAATGAAGAGTTCCAAAACTTTCCATTTTGGTCTTTTAATGATAGTAAAGACACATTGTTAAAATCGCTTACTCTTTGGCTCCTCCGCCTTAGTACAATTTTTAGAAGCATACTTCGTTCTGGTCAACCATTTCCTGAATCTCTTTACGCCAGAATTGAGAACGCTTATTAGCCTTGCTTTATCCGGGGAGTCATTCTGCTGTATTTGGTCCAGTGAATTTATAACTTGTCTCGTAATCAATCGTAGTCTCTTAAATTGTCTTTTGCCTGTTGTTCCTCTTGGTTCTTTCATCCATTGTTCATCCACCTTTTCCTACAAAACCAGTACAATCAATTAATTGTGAGGTTGCTCATATTTAATGCAAAAAGCATGTGAACGGAAGTTGAACCATTGACACTTTTACTGTTTATCTAGAACTGTATTTCTTCTGCTCCACATCTCATTTTAGACTTCGTAATTTCAAGAACTCATAATCTACAATTATTTTCAAGTCATTGTTCGCATCCCCTGAACCCTCTGGCTGCAGGCCTGTGTTCGTCAACCTCTGGTGTAATGAATTCCTTATCAATGAACTGTTTCATTTTTTTGTGGTTTTGGGAATAGCGCCTTAGATGCTCATTATCTTCGCATACTGGGTCTTCAATACCGCAGCCAAGTGAACGAAGATGCTAAATGCTGGGAAACGGGGGTATTCGACATCGATCTAGTCTGTATATATCATAAGACCATTGTCTCGTGATATTGATATAATCAGTTGGATATGGTATATATCTACTAGCTGTGATTTCTAGATCGTAGTTTTTGGTCTAAAATATTCTATACCTTCTGTGTAAAATCCCAAAATAGTGTAAATTAAAATTTCAATTTCAATATTTCCATTAAAAAAATCCTGGTCTATAATTCGGCCTTTAATTATATTGAATGGACACTTGGACGAATAATAGTAAACGGTTAAAACAAATAGCATATATGTGAACTACCTTTGAAGTATTTACTCAAGTCTTTGAGTAAAATCTAGGGACACATACTCATTTCAGGTATTAACAAATTTCAAAATAGAGTCCGAAATTTATTCCTTGGCGTACATCCAGAAATACCATACACAGGAAATAAAAGGTGAATAAGCTTGGACGTCCCCGATACACATAAGCAAGGCCAAAAGAACCCATGATTTAAGAATAAACAGTATCATATTTAACTGGTTGTTACAAAAAAGGGAAACATACAATTACTTCTGATCTGTCAAAAATTATATTCTTTAAATGTCTCAGTATTCCGATTAAATGATCGAACATACAAAGAAACAACAAAAGAAAAACAAAATACAACACATAGACATTCATTACAAGACACGTTTCATAATCTTAAAAAGAGACAAATTACTTCAAAAAGTTATAGATTATATTGTATGGCCGAAGATGGCCGAAGATGGCCGAACATGCTTGTATACTGCAACCGAAGATGGCCGAAGATGTGGCCCTAATCTTTCAAGGAATTTGATTGGTTCCCAGAAGCATCTTCGGCCATCTTCGTGATATTAACATCTTCAACCGAAGATGGCCGAACATGCTTGTACTGCAACCGAAGATGGCCGAAGATGTGACCCTGACCCTTCAAGGAATTTGATTGGTTCCCAGAAGCATCTTCGGCCATCTTCGTGATATTAACATCTTCAACCGAAGATGGCCGAACATGCTTGTACTGCAACCGAAGATGGCCGAAGATGTGACCCTGACCCTTCAAGGAATTTGATTGGTTCCCAGAAGCATCTTCGGCCATCTTCGTGATATTAACATCTTCAACAGAAGGTGACCGAACATGCTTGTACTGCAACCGAAGATCTAGCTCTAACCCTTAAAGGAATTTATTGGTTACTTGAAGCAATCTTAAGGAAATCTTCGTGATATCTTCGGTGCAATTTCTTACCTTGAGGAATTTCCCAAGAACAGAGATGACGTTGGCATGGGAATGAACCTCCCGAGCATTAACAGAGTTTTGTCTCCTTGTGTCTTTGCTAAATTGTCTTAGATCATCTATGAGAACTTTGACACTCTGAATAAGAATCCCCGTAGACAACTCGCCTTCTAAAAGGAAAATATTATACACGATAATTATCATGAATAGTGTGTTATCAATGGGGTTGAGGCCAGGGCTCTTATCCATATGAATCTAGGATGAAGAAATCATTTTAGCTCCTTTTTGATGTTCTTTATTCCCGTGCCATTGCATGAACATGTATCATATATCCACTTTTTAATAAAACAATTCTGCACTCCAACAGATGCATACAGATCGATACAAATATTGAACAAATGGTTCATTCTATTGAATCTTTTAATGATTTCAGCAAGGGGGTTGGGGATGGGATCGGGAATTCACATTGCGGAATCACTGAAAGTCGTATATAATTACTTCTGGGACAACCCTCGTACATTGATACTTGCATTTACCGAAAACAGAATGGTCAAAATATTTGTTTTTATATACATTTTATTATTCCTCGCTTTATTTGCCAGATCTTTTCAGAAAAAATAAAACAAATTAATTTCATCACCAAATCGGCACACACACCCCTGCGATTTTAGGCTTACATTGGATGTAAAATCCCTCATCCTTTGTACACGTCCTGCTAGTGACGTCTATTATAACGTCATACACCCTTGAGCTGGGATTGAAATATTTGTTATTAATACAGACTGTCGATCTTTCAGTGAGTCAAACCATGGGCTTGGTCAAACTCACCAAAATTAATCCATCTCTTAAATAGAACCTAGTAAAAGTGTTTAATGACCATCACCTTCCGTTGATTTCTTGTGTCAGAATTTTTAATCAGGGGAACATTATAAAGTATAGTAGTCTTAATATTTTTTAAATATACTCTTTAAGTAGATTTTAAATGTTTACTGTACTACACAGGGCAATTTGTTTTCGAAGCATTTCATTAGAATTTATCAATTGGTGTGTTTTTCTTCTTGATTTTTGCGTCAATTGGTTTATTTTGTTTTACACCCTATGCTTAGTGAGCGGAGCTAATTTCAAGGGCGATGGTAAAGACGAGGCAGGGCGCCCAAAAACCCAAAAAATATTAGTACCATAATCTTTTAAGTCGTATTATTGCAGCATAAGGTGATGATATTGTGATATTTTATGCTGTTTTAGAAGTGAAAGATGTTAAACTATGCATACCGTTTATTTTACATCCAATAAAACGAATAGTTAAGATGAAACAGTCGTTTAAAGATACAATTTGAATTTACCGCAAGAAATTACAACCTAATATTGTCAATATGTCAATAATTCCTGGTCGATGTCACATATATAGAGATTATCCTATATGAGGTTCAGGATATTGGGATTATCCCGAGGCCAATATAATATATCTGCCCGAGGGCCGTAGGTCCCGAGGGTAGATATATTATATTGGCCAAGGGATAATCCAAATATCCTGAACCGACTATAGGATGATCTGTTTATCCCATACCAATCACATTGTTCAATTTGCCAAAGTTCAGAAACTTTGCAATCAACCGTGGAATATTCTTAAAATATTCATGTCTAGTTTTGTATTCCCGTTTCTTTCCTATTCAAATCTTTGATTATTAACGCCGGTACACTGCTCCTCCCCTTCTTTAAAGCATCAAACAGGTCGAGATTGTCTGCGTTTTTCTCCATTGTCGTTTACAGTATGCGAACGTTCCAAAAAAGAACCAATACGGGAACAGCGATTATGACGTAGCGGGCAGATATAGTATATCTGCCCGCTCGGAGCGGGACGTAAAGCTATATCTGCCCGCTGATGAAAATATAAGTTTTTACAAACCGGCTTTATGTACCCGTAACACGTCCAAGTATGGGATAAAAAGATATATGTACCTAGATATGTTTTATTTTTTCATATATGCGAAATAAGGCGGTCTCTAGTTATGTACATCCAATGCAAAATGAATGTTTACTAGAGTGTCTATTCGGCGATCAGAATTTCGATGACGAGCAATGGCGATGTAATTTGCGAAGAAAGCATCAGTGCACCTAGTTACAGGCCAGGTTTGGGCGCCATGCCTCGTCTTTACCATCACCCTTGAAATTAGGTCCGCTCACTAAGCATAGGGTGTTTTAGCTGTAGCAAATAAAACGACACAGATCTGAAATTTATTTGTGTTTTGGCACACTTTTGAAGTTGATTCTACTAACCAATATACAATAGGACAATAAAATAATCAAAAACGACTAGACCGATTGTTTAGTACACGAGCACTACCCTCTTATCAAATTGAAATAACATATGTACTTATCTTTGATTGTAAATCGATATATTCAAACAGTCCCTTGCTTTCATTCTATTGCATAATTCATTTCAATATGTTACTAAGTTCTCCAAAATGGTCATATCAGTGCAACGAAAAGTGTTTGTCTCGATAGTACAATGACATCAAACATGACATTGTCTTAGTACAATGACATCAAACATGACATTGAACTTGTATGCGGACACCATTAAGCCACGATTGATAACAACAATTCAAATAAAAACATAGGTAATCGTGAACGAATATTTGATTAATTTAAGAATACTAAATGAATGTATTCAGTATTTCCGCCTCCCATAAGGGTAAATTCAAATTTGTTCGGTTATATAATATTTATATTATTGTATGGTGGCTTACAAGGTGAGAACTCAATCAGAAGAGGGTGTGTCTAACGAACGAATCATAGTTGTTCATTTGGTAGAGAAGGATTTCCCCCTAGAAGTCAACTTCACAGGGAGGTTTGCCAGAATGCAACCCATCAGATCTCCAGTCTATTAACCGTAAATACATCTTATCTGTGCTTCAATTTTAGGTTTTGCAAGTTCAGCCTTTGTCTACGAGGTGCATTTTATTAAACTATCAATGAAAAGATGTTACCTCAACTTTGAGGCATATTGACCAAATAGTCTTCTGATTTCTTTGGAAGAAGGTGGCCCGTTGCTCGTGGGCTGCATTTTTGATCACCCTGTAAATGCACCCTTAATGAGCGTTCTGTTTAGATTATTTTTAGAGGTGAATAATTTCATGATAAAAGGGATTATACTAATCATCACTAAATTGTACAAAATGTCAGAAAAGTAAGTTCTTCAATTCAAGATCAAGTGAGAATGTGTGGAATAGGCTTGTCTCTGAGGGCTGTATAGGGGGACTGACTAATTGTTAGATCCCTGGGATGTGGCAATGATCCAATATTCCATTGAAGTTGGGTCATTAACTAAGTACCTCAGCAGATCATGCCTCACAACTAGATCATCTGAAATGTTTACATTTTGTCAAAGTCAGCGAAGGTGACTTTTCTAACTACATTTAATAACACTATTAAGGTGCCGAGTGCACATGTATTTTCTAAGTTCATTGTCAAATTGAATGATATTTATTTGCCTTTTAAACCCTCCCAAATTAGCACACTAATCAGACGTTTTATTTTCAAATCGCTTATCAAATTTAATTCAAAATTCACTGGTGTTCATCTACACGACATTCGTTCAACACAAGCAATGCACTGATTTATGAACTTCAATTAAATTGTTATTTTTTGCATCGAAACATATGTCACATTTATTTAAGGAAGCGTTTTTGTTGCTATATATTATAGCACATGGCGTAAATGGAAATGACATATTTTATTCAATTGATATAAACACGAATAACAAAAAGGCAGACGCATTATTTACAGTGTGTGACTTTCCTAGGGGGAAAGTATCATAATGGTTCTGTTTTAAAATGCAAAATAGAGTGGAACAAAGTGGAATTAGTTAGAAATAAAATACACAGACATGTAGTCAATACTCTAAATTTTATAAAATGTACGAAAATCTCACACTTCATTTAAATCTAAGAGAGAAATAACACGAAATAGCCATGACCAGCGAGAAATTTAAAACTGGTAAACGTAAAAAAAGCATTTAATAACCTTAAGTATCCTCAACGTTCAAGTCAAGATTATAGAATGAAGTATTCACTATGGTGTGTATTTACTATTCATTTATCATAATAAACAATCATTTGAATGATTAAAATTGAAATATAGTCACTAAATCATTCATAAAAAAGTTGTTCGATATCTGATACTATAAGGACACGTGAATTCCCAAGTACAACATCTCAATGGGCAGTTAATCTTGCGCGTTTTAAGAACTACCGTCACTAATTTTACATCAGCTTGATAGACTAGATTGATTTTAAGTGGTTTCCAGTCAAATAATAAACACTGCCAATTCAGAAGTCTGGCAACTCGGTCTGGCAAATGTATTTTGTCATTTTTATAAAGAGGCGATGGATGAGAACTTTGGGGCGAGGTGCGAGTGGGTAGGGAGGGGTGGGGATTTTCGCATGACCAAGAAAATCAATGTTCCAATAAAAACTCAATAGTTACTGTAGGAAGTTGAACTTCTCCCCTTTACTGTAATAATTTATTGCTGAAACAACTTTTCTACTAAATAATCTAAACTTTCACAATAGTGGTCGATGATTTTGTGACTTACTCACTTTAAAAAAATCAGTTCCCTAATAACACCCAAAAAAAACTTTACAGACCTTACACCTGTACAGTTCACTCACCTGTACATTCTATAGGATCATCTTTGAAGGGTGCCAAAAATTTGCTCAGTTCATCCTCCAGTGACGTCAGCTTGAGAATTTGCGTTATAATCTCCAATAATGAAGAGTTGCTTAGTTTCGAAAGGAAATCGAGAATTTTGTCAACGATTGGGAGCAGGTCGTCTAAGATGGATCTTACTTTATTCTTAGCATGTTCTCCTATAAGACTAGCCTTACCCTAGAAAGAGATGAGTTCAATTACTTTACAGCATCAAAAGTGCCATACTAAATCATGACTCTCAATTATTTACATTTGAATTACTCCTTTAATAAATTCTGACCATGCACAATTATGACTATAATGACTATTATGATACTGAGCTTGTATTCGCGAATGCAACTAACGCCTGTCGGCTACCGGATTGAACTACTATTTTATGGGTAACTCACTAAAATATGAATAGTACCTGCCACTATTTCATTCATATTTAAGTGAGTTGGTCATAAAATAGTAGGTTAATCCGGTAGCCGTCAGGCGCTATTGCATTCGCGAATACAAGCTAACTATGACCAGCGCACTAATCACACACTAAATACTATGAATTTCATATTTGATCATTAATCCCATACTAAATATCAAATTCCATGTTAATCTATTTTATACAATATACCTCAAGGTATTGTCCAAGGTTGGAAACAGCTTGTACTTTCTTGTTTATAATCTTTTTATCACCGTTTGCCTGTTTTATTCCACCTTCAAGCTGTTTGAGTTCAGCGACGAAAACGTCCACACTTGGGACCAGATTCTTTACTTGTTTTTCAGCCTTCGATAGAGAGTTTGATGCCCTACTGGCTCTGTGATTTTTACCTGGAAAAGTTACATGTAGTTAAGCCTGGTGTGGTATACCATGAAGTGGCGCATCATGATTTAATATAAAACGCTATCATTGCTATGGTAATTTGCCGTGATAGAACATTACATAATAGATGTAGTAAAGGATGATGTGACCGACAGACAGACAGACAAACCGACCGACCGACCGAACAAACGAACGATCGACCGACAGACCGACAAACAGATCGTCTGACCATTATAATAGGCTCTATGCCATAGGATAGCACAATCAAGACCCCTTTGAACCTTTTTGCATATTGAGTTTCACCACATATTCACCCATCTACTTACCAGAAAGAAGAAGTTCCAAATCCCCCTCTTTCAGTGTTAATTTTGCGATTGTGCTGGCCGATCTAATTATTTTCGAGTAAATTAATTCAATTGGTCGTTAAATTTGTTTTCATGAACCTGATTGGCTGCCTGGTTCAAGGCGCTTGTGGGCGCCTGTGTGACTCAATGGGGATTCCCCTCGCTAGCAGAGGACTCCATTGTGCTTAATTCTGGAGTTTGGTTGTTCTGTTGATTGTTTCAATATTTCGGCAATAATATAACCAAACGTTATTCTCAAGATATATCCATGGTATGTGAGATATTATACGAGCAATAACAATAGGACATCATTGATTGTCTGGGGAAGAAACCTATGGTATAATGCATCTTTAAGAGACATATTGTTTACAAGGTGAAAGAACATGCTACTTTCCTTCCACTTAACTAACACATGTAAGCCACGTGAGTGCCACAATTAAGTAACCACATAAAAAACTACAGGGTGTCTGATAAATCCCCCCTTAAGCCAAAACCTTAATAGATGGTACCTTGTGTGATATACCATTGGAAAGACTACATTAACTCACCAACTCTTTAATATTTTGTATGTTCATGATGTCATGATTTCATTACGTGAGAAAAACATTGCACGAAAAAAGTTGAGGCGCAAACATGTATTAAAGGGTGACGCATATCGTTTAGCAAATCGAACGCTCGTTTCTGGTGTTGCTCACCGTTTAGTATAAAAGGCCCGATCCCGGAATAATACTCAAGGGTTCACAGGTTCGAGATCGTTGTGTCAACACCTCTAACTGTTATATAGCATAAGTATATTATAGATCGTCACACATTTATAAAAGGGTGATTTTTATTTTGACAAATCAATTCCACATTTATGGATGAAGTTTCAGGATCTTCTATTTGTGTATAATAAGGAAAAATTGGCATCTAAATTTCCCCATAACGTAATAGCACACAGCTTGGCATATGAAATATCCTACAAATGAAACAAAGCAAGACAAACCGGTTTCTAATACAAGGATTTATATTGGCTGTTGTACATGTATTCTTTGAACGCAATCACTCTTTGGATAACGTTTTCAAAATCATTATAAACGGATTACTTTATCTCAAAGACAATTTCAATAAACTGGATTTTACAGAACTCCCCTTATTTCTTAAAAATGGACCGATCCAGTTGATTCGCCTGGAGCCGCCATATTGTTTTTATACGGGATGCTAATCGGAACCCTTTAAGACCCTGAAAACCATGCGTTTTTCACATTATGAAAAGGGAGAAGAGCTAAAGATGGTTTCTAGAAATGGTTTAAAGGTCATTTAAAATAAAATTACCCAAAATACCGAACAATATACCAAACGATAAGAAAACTAGTTAATTTGTTTTAGTAGTTTCTCTAAAGTTTACCATTATTTATTACATTAAACATGTTTAAAGTATCCAGAAAAACAGTGTTTTCTCCGCGATGAAATTAAAGTTGATTTGAAGTGCGTGTAGACCTGCGCAAAAAACAAACTTCCAAAAGTTGACGTCATTTGATATCCGGGCTTTGTTTTGTCATCCGGGCTTTGTTCAGATAAGTGAAACTTGAAACATAGAAGCAAGAAAAGAACTCTCTATGTTTTCTGTTTTCTTGCTAAAAGGTCTCTACCACTATCTCCTGCCCCTCTCTATGCTGCACATCCAACCCTGTTCATAAATAGGATGACTTCACTGCAAAATATATATTTTTAATTTTGAGTTACCTTTCCCTTTTAGATGCTTGATTTTCAAAATCCCCCCAAATATGCCAAGTTGCCTTGTTTCTGGGTCTATCGTCACCTCAGATGATACAATGAAGCAATTTGTGACATTGATTGACATGTTTCAGGTATATGCAAGTCAACCTAACTTTGAATGATCTTTCCAATGGTATATCAGACAAGATATCTCAAAGGAGAAGCTCCTCTGGACATAATTTACGTAACCTCTTAACTTTGGTCTTATCGATCGACCAATCGTTATTTTGAAATATTTGAAATAGCACCCATTGGCAGTGCCACGAGGCGGTGGCACTGCAAGCAAATCCGGCACATAAAAGTAACATGTCATCTCATTTCAGAATTTTGTTTTCCAACGTGTGACACGTTGTGACATGTTGATAAAGGCTCGTACAGTGTTACAAAGATTTGGTCTAGCCGGTGGTGACATTACATTTTATGAGCAATTCCGTATATTTTTATTCATTTCAAATGGCAGCATCTGACATTTGAGGAAAAATAAAAACTTATAGTAAATACAGGTGTAGCAATACTCAATGAGAAAGCGGCAATACATAACAATAGGTTCAGACAAAAATATGAAACAACAAAATAAATCAATAACAACTAACAACTTTTATTGTAAACCTTATACTGAAAATATACAATTGCTAAAAGTGTCACCAATTCGTGCAAAGTATTTTACGTGTCATTAAAATAAATAAAACATAAACATAGAAATGAACAATTCAATGATTATTCTCACTGCCTTTCCTGTTTTGACTCACAGTAAGTTTTTCTTCTTCGTTTCAGTAAAATGGAAAGTTTGAAAAATTGAACTTCCATATGGTTTTTAAAAAAGTGGATTCATGCCAATAATTTTTTCATATTGACTAGCAATCATATTTTTTATCTATACAATGTTATAATGTATTTACAAACATATCACACTACAAATAAACGTGCTATCAATTGCATGGTATTGTCTCAAGGCCTAGAAATGAAATGGAAACGATAAAAAGTCATATCGGGTATTGGCTCACCAATGTGTCCCTGCATAGTGTATTATATGAATTACTCCACTTCGGGTAAGCTTTTAATAGCTTTCAATAAAGCTGAAAAAAGATCGACGAACGATTGGCATAACGGAGAAAATGTGTTTTAAAAATATACTTGATACTGCATTCCCGGGCCTAGGGCCTCAGACATGATTACAACTATTTGATAAAGAGAAATAACTGTACACTCCGTACGTTTAAAGGGACAATATGTTTTTGCAATATCATTCCATGGCATACTTTTTTTTACTAAAAGACCAACACTTGTCACTTCATTTCAAGAAAATAAAGATGGTGTCGCAGATCTAATGTCTTTCACAGTAGTAGGTCTACTTCGATAGATCTCAAATTATTTTAAACTCAGGCATTTATTTATCTTGAATTTCAATAACTTAAATTTTTGATCAGATACTTAACAGTACCTTCGCCTTTTCAGAAATAAAATCAGGACCGATAGGTTGCCTCTAACATTTTAAATTGTTTATCCTTTCGTATTCCTTTAACCCTTTCACGACGATAGGCTCCATATGGAGCCCTATTATATAATACCTTTCAGGACGATGGGCTCCTTTTGGCACCATTATTTTTATTTCTATGCATCAATGAAATGACAATATCTCCAGTTCTATTCAGTATTTTTACACCAAATTTTGACAAGTTGTTAAAATGTGATAGTCCTTCTTAAAAAATGTATTTAGGTGATTCAATTTAAAGCATACGTCCTGGGATATAGGTAATTTACAGTTTTTCCCTAAAAACTGCTCTTACTTATCCGTCACCAGTCCAATATTTTCCTCTTATATTCACGTCAGGAAAGGGTTAAATGTCACAAAACTAGATTCATTGACATAAGAATCACAAATAAAATTACCAACAGTGATATAGAAAGGTACCAGTAATTAAAAAACATAGAAAGGCACCAGCAATTAAAAAACATAGAAAGTAATTACCAGCAATTAAAAAACATAGAAAGGCACCAGCAATTAAAAAATAAGAAAGTTACCAGTAATTAAAAAACAAAGAAAGTTACCAGCAATTAAAAACGGAAAGTCACCGACGACATTAGCATCATGTACAGACAGTTAACAACCAACAAATACAAAATGATGAATGCTAAACAGCTTCAAATGAAAATTTGCTTGAAATTAAAAATGTTTCGGTAGGATAAAATATCCATCAGAAAAGGTATTTGCATTACTAGAAGTTTATTGAGAAGTGTTCGGTGTTTACATACCTAGTGTTTTAACTGTAAATTGGTTACTAATTAGACAATATTGGTCAAATAAATAGGTTTAACTGTCCATCATTTGTGGTTGAGTAATGAGTGTAACACTTGTAATTACTAAAACGCCCATAGAAATGTCTCAAAATGAAATGTTTCAAATGTCCAATAACACAGCTCAATATGTAGCATACAAAATTAATGTCAGTCCCTTTGTAGATGAAACACAACGCAATCCCAGATTGACCTTTTCACCCCGAATCAAAACTTCTTGAAAGAAATTTATTTCTAGCGATTTTTGCTAGGCACAAAATATCTTATATTTTGTCTATCTCAAGCTGATTAATTTATAGTCCCATGCTGTACTATATAGTCACATACTGAATCCAATAGTCTCATAAGTCCTATACTGTACTGTAGTCCCATACTGTACTGTATAGTCCCATAGTGTACTGTATAGTCCCACTGTACTGTATAGTCCCATAGTGTAATGTATAGTCCCATAGTGTACTGTATAGTCCCATCCTGTACTGTTGTCCTATACTGTACTGTATAGTCCCATATTGTACTGTGTAGTCCCATACTGTACTGTATAGTCCCATACTGTACTGTAAAGTCCCATACTGTACTGTAGTCCCATACTTTACTGTATAGTCCCATACTGTACTGTATAGTCCCATAGTGTACTGTATAGTCCCATAGTGTACTGTATAGTCCCATACTGTACTGTAGTCCCATACTGTACTGTATAGTCCCATAGCGTCCCATACTGTACTGTAGTCCCATACTGTACTGTATTTCCATACTGCACTGTATGTATGGTCCCATACTGTACTGTATAGTCCCATACTGTACTGTATAGTCCCACAATGTATCGTATAGTGACATACTAAACCATATAGTCCCATACTGTACTTTACAGTCCCATTTTGTAACTGTATTGCATAGTCCATACTGAACTGTATAGTCACATTCTGAAGTCGAATTGTCCAATTTAAACGGAAAAGTGACATGCTGAACTGTATTAAGTCACAGATCAAACTTCATAGTCCCATTCGAAATAGTCAAATACATATTTGATCATATTGTCTCATATATGACTATAACTAAGTGACTGCTTACTTTTAATAGAAAAACTCATCAACAAATCTAGAACAGCGAAACCCCAAAGCTATCAATTAAGGACACATTTAAACTAAAGTGACATACCCTTTTAAAAAATAATTATTAAAATATAATAGAATATGAAAATTCCTACTCACCTCGTGCTAGTTCAATATTGAGGACAACCGTAAAAAGAATAAAAGTCTTGAAAACTGAAGGAAATTTCATCTTTTGTACTAACTTAAGAGCAGTTCACAATCCCTCTCTACTGAAGACGAGAAACAAGTTGAATGAATGCATGGGCCTGTTTTATATGGCGTGTTGTAGTAGTACGTACTGAAAGTAAATATAAATAATACACACCCCTGAATATAACGTCAGGTCATTTAGGCCTAGACGCGGGAAGTAGTGTTCATAGAACATAAAAATATAAATTAAACAAGTTTGAAGTTCAGACTTAAAATTGTGCTGAAATAAATCAGGATATTTCTGAAAATGAGAGAAATTGAGTGAATTGAGCATGGTTTAAGCTAAACATACCTTGGTGTTAATTTGAATGATAGAAACACTAATATTATTATAGAATGGAATGACTAGACTTAAATTGAGTGCAATTTTATTGGTAGAATTTTTCAAGATTTAACTAGGTGAGTGGCGTGTTATTTTCTACTGATCGGATTGGACCGTCACCTCCTGACCATACGGCAGGAGTGGTTGAATCATTCAATGTATGACCATTGTCGTAATTTGCCGCATTCCATATGTGACCATTGTCGTAATTTGTCGTCTGCTAGTGCTGATAAATCATTTATTTTTTGCTAAAATTCGAAAGAAGTGTCTTATATTTTCGCATATTTGTACACATTATGAAGTCTGCGTTAAGCCTGATTTGCTAACTCAATTGTAACTTAGAATTCGAATGGAAAACGTATTATGTCTCCCATTCGAATTCTATTTTACAAAAAGTCATCTTTATTATTTTCTATAGGGGTTTGTTTACTATATCAAACATCCCCCCCCCAATGAAGTTAAAGTGAAAAAAATACATTTTAAATGTCTCTTTTAAAGAGAGTGTGAAATGAAATGAATTATGAATGATTATCAAAGGACTTTACATAGAAACATACACAGGGGTAATATTTCATAAAATAAACAGTATGAATTTAGGAAATCTTCAGACTTACCAAACAAAAAGAAAGTTCATAATAACCCTTAAAAATATATAAAAGTATTCTGTTTAACATAGTGGGAAAATATGAATAGTCAAACTATGGAGTAATTTTTTAAAGAAACACTTAATGACATCGCCAACATTTAAAAAGGTTAATACTTAATTTTTTTTAATTATGAATAGTAAGTAGAACATAAGATCAAGTATTTAAAGTTAAACACACGCTTAAAATACATCATTCAAAAATGTTCAATCCAGCTCACAATAGATTAGATCTCCTTATGCCAGTCAACGCCAAAAATATATTCGACTGTGTAGTATTGTCAATAAGCCGTTACAATGAAGAAATTATAATTACTGATGGTCATTGTATGGAAAATATTACAAACTTTTTACATGCATGAGCATAGATTAGAATTTCGGTTGAATATTTAATTCGACTGCTACATGAATTTGAGTGTAATTATAATAAGCCTATATCAAGCAAAAATATTTCTGTAGAAAAACTTCAAAAAAGATTGCAAAAATACGAGCGCCGAAAAAAACGCACGCATTTCGTTCGGATTTTTCAGGCGAATCCTCTATATACCCGCCTTTATCCTATGCCAAGTAGAGTTTTAGGGAGATACTGTAAGTTGGTAAGATATATCCCGTATCCTGATTTTGAGGTTTCCATATCCTGAACCTCCATATCTCCCGCTCCAGGGCATATCTTCCCGCTAAGAAAAATTGAAAAAAAGAAAAAATGTGAAAAAATTGAAAAAATAAAAAAATTGAAAGAAAATTAGAAAACTCTACTTGGTATTGGATAAAGCAGTTATGTACGGTCGGTTTGGATATTGGGTTCATCCCTCGTGAGATATGCACATCTACCCCCTCCCCGTTGACTGACATTTTATGCGAAAAGTTTGAGGTGTTCAAAGTTTGGCCTAAAATACAATAAAATTTAAACCAAGGTGTTCAAAATTTGGATCAAGGTGTCCACAATTTGAGGGAAGGTGTTCAACATTTGTAAGTCACTCATGTTAGGTATTCCCAAGTTGACAGGCCTGGTGTAATTTTATGACCTCCAGGGATAACTATTTCCCTCTCAATTAGATTTTCCTGGATCCTTATTCCACTATTTTCCTTAATTCTCCTACATTCAACCAGGCAAGTAGAAGTAAATACTACGAAGAAGAGAACCTAGAGGACCACGATTCTACACATTTATGAACGTGTCGCTTACATTTATAATTATATGCGGGCAAATACGGGATGTCTTCTGACGTGGTCATTTGGGGGTATTTTGAATGCAAGACATTAAATGACCCTTGAAATCATAATTGGTTTGAACTCGTTACCCCTCATATTTTACATCAAAGAACTCTAATGACCCAGTGGCCTGACTGGGGTCAAGATTTTTATGTATGAATTAGGAGCGGATCCAAGCTTTCCGATAAAAATCAGCGCTTCGTTAAACGAACTACATGTAGGGTTTGTTCAGGAGTCAAAAAGTCAGAGATCGTAAAATTTCAAAGTAGTTGCTAGACATAATCAGAAGTGAGATTGTCATTTTTGTAAAATCAATTTTGCAATCAGTATGGAGATGGTACACGCATGCGCGACTGCTACATGTATATCAAATACTGTAAATTAGAATCCCGTGACCTGATTATGAAGGTTCCAAGTTGAGGCACCAAACAGAGATAAACAGCATTGTGATAAGAGCAGTTTTCCACGTGATAATTCAAATGAAGTCATATCGAAATGTGCCCATTTATCTGTAAAAATAAAGAAACGTAGACTAAAACTATAAATAATTTTACCCTAAGAATTGCAAAAATACAAAAACGCATTAAATCTCAATTTGACCACACAATAGAGAAACTATATATGGTGTCCTCTATTTTGCAATTTCTGCCATTTACGATAGCCATATACTGTTTTTTCCTCTTAAATATATGGGTCAAGATGAAATGGATAGGCTCCGTCAATAAATATGAACTCAAACACTTTGGTACAAAATACGGTTGCATAACTCAACACGGTACTTAAATAATGCAGATAATCAATTTTCCAACTGAACAAAAACAAGAGTGCTGTTAATGACAATGACAGGGTGGTCCGTGTTGTGCCAGTTAATCCATTAACAAAACCTGCACAATTTTAAGTTGATATAGGCAAAGAATTACGCAATAGCAAGTTACAATTACTACAATTTATTGTACAGTACTAAAACACAAATATATCGTACAAATAAACATGTTTGGCATAGGGAATACAATGTGATATTGTACGACTATACAGTACATCCCATTACCAACAAACATGATTAGTTTGGTTGGTATAACCATCACAAAGATGATTAAGATGAACATTCATGCGTGAAAATGTTTTGGTAGATAGATTTAATAGGTAGGTAGATTTAATTATAAAAATCGAAAATAAGGTTAAAAACATTTTTAGGCATGAGTATATATATGTACTTTATCCTATTCATAGATTTATATGAGTAATTTTAAAGAACGTTCCTGTTTTTTGTTACATGTACATTTTCTATACTATGTTTCATGTACTATATAATAAACATCTACCCAAAAACTGGAATTAAACACTTTGATTAAATTGATTGCATAATTAATGAATTATGGAAGCTATAGAACTTTATATTTTATTCAAAACATTTTTGCGAGAGATTCTATGTAAAAGCCATCACCTTATCGTAGGTAAGTCAAACATCCGATTTGTCGTCGTAAAATATGATGTTGTGATTCGGGGGATTGGTCAATGAATTATGTTATACTAGTACTTGAAAATTAAAGTGCATTCATACACTCACATCCATTAATACACTTCCCATCCGTTATAGCAACTGACACAAATATCAAGCATAGATTTTAGACTGATATAAAGATGGCAACAAAGGTAAAATTTTATATATTCTCTTTAAGAGATTATTGTATATGTAAAACAGATCTATTGCAGTGCCATCTTTATTGACAATTATTTCTATCGCACTTTGGCCTTTTTACTTCTAAGGTACATTGTACTTCTGATTTATTGGTTACATCTGACTAAGATTCTGATTTTCAGGTTACTTCTGACATCTAGGTTTCTTCTGTCTTCTTCTTGGTAACTTTTGGTTTCTAGGTTACTTCTGACATCTAGGTTTCTTCTGACTTCTTCTTGGTTACTTTTGGTTTCTAGGTTACTTCTGACATCTAGGTTTCTTCTGACTTCTTCTTGGTTACTTTTGGTTTCTAGGTTACTTCTGACATCTAGGTTTCTTCTGACTTCTTCTTGGTTACTTTTGGTTTCTAGGTTACTTCTGACATCTAGGTTTCTTCTGACTTCTTCTTGGTTACTTTTGGTTTGTATGTTACTTCTGACATCTAGGTTTCTTCTGACTTCTTCTTGTTTACTTTTGGTTTCTAGGTTACTTCTGACATCTAGGTTTCTTCTGACTTCTTCTTGTTTACTTTTGGTTTCTAGGTTACTTCTGACATCTAGGTTTCTTCTGACTTCTTCTTGGTTACTTTTGGTTTCTAGGTTACTTCTGACATCTAGGTTTCTTCGGACTTCTTCTTGGTTACTTTTGGTTTCTAGGTTACTTCTGACATCTAGGTTTCTTCTGACTTCTTCTTGGTTACTTTTGGTTTCAAGGTTACTTCTGACATCTAGGTTTCTTCTGACTTTTTTTTGGTTACTTTTGGTTTCAAGGTTACTTCTGACATCTAGGTTTCTTCTGACTTTTTTCTTGGTTACTTTTGGTTTCTATGTTACTTCTGACATCTAGGTTTCTTCTGACTTTTTTCTTGGTTACTTTTGGTTTCTATGTTACTTTGACATCTAGGTTTCTTCTGACTTCTTCTTGGTTACTTTTGGTTTCTAGGTTACTTCTGACATCTAGGTTTCTTCTGACTTCTTCTTGGTTACTTTTGGTTTGTATGTTACTTCTGACATCTAGGTTTCTTCTGACTTCTTCTTGTTTACTTTTGGTTTCTAGGTTACTTCTGACATCTAGGTCTCTTCTGACTTCTTCTTGTTTACTTTTGGTTTCTAGGTTACTTCTGACATCTAGGTTTCTTCTGACTTCTTCTTGGTTACTTTTGGTTTCTAGGTTACTTCTGACATCTAGGTTTCTTCGGACTTCTTCTTGGTTACTTTTGGTTTCTAGGTTACTTCTGACATCTAGGTTTCTTCTGACTTCTTCTTGGTTACTTTTGGTTTGTATGTTACTTCTGACATCTAGGTTTCTTCTGACTTCTTCTTGTTTACTTTTGGTTTCTAGGTTACTTCTGACATCTAGGTTTCTTCCGACTTCTTCTTGGTTACTTTTGGTTTGTATGTTACTTCTGACATCTAGGTTTCTTCTGACTTCTTCTTGTTTACTTTTGGTTTATAGGTTACTTTTGACATCTAGGTTTCTTCTGACTTTTCTTGGTTACTTTTGGTTTCTATGTTACTTCTGACATCTAGGTTTCTTCTGACTTCTTCTTGGTTACTTTTGGTTTCTAGGTTACTTCTGACATCTAGGTTTCTTCTGACTTCTTCTTGGTTACTTTTGGTTTCAAGGTTACTTCTGACATCTAGGTTTCTTCTGACTTTTTCTTGGTTACTTTTGGTTTCTATGTTACTTCTGACATCTAGGTTTCTTCTGACTTCTTCTTGGTTACTTTTGGTTTCAAGATTACTTCTGACATCTAGGTTATCTGTGCATGTATGCAATGCATACAGACTTATCTCGAGCTTTTGAGTTTCTTTATTACACTCTCCCCTCGTACAACCCTAACACACGTAATATTCGGATATATATACGGATATGTAGAGCTTCTCATCCTGATTTTTTATTGAACAAAGGTTCCCTCTACCTTGAAATGTATGCGTACACATATGTTTTGAAATCATAAACAATCATTTAATTTCTTATATCTATCTCATCGATCATGTAAACAATACTAATGGGACTACATGGACTGTCCTAATCCTTAGATGGTCATTGTCCGATATTAGCTAGGGAGTTTAAGCTTGCATATAAAATTGAAACGCCAACTTATACGTATGACCAATCGCCCATACAAATGCATCGCTTAAATATTTTCTGTTCACGTTTAGGTTGTGAAAAATATTTTATACCCTTACGAATAGAGGAGTGTCCATAGAGCTTTGATACCTCGCTAACTCTCGTTTTCCATGAGGTTTTGAGAGATTTGCACTTTGACCTCTAACAACTGACTTTCTTTTTAAAAAGCATATTTGAATTCAGTGGAACGTTTTCAACAATAATGACTGTTTTTTACAGTTATGTCTCATTTTCCACGTCGTTTAAAAAAACTTGGGCCAAATCTCCATTGAAATTGAAATGTTAAAACACGTGACAATGAACTAACACATGGAGTTTATTTTTCATCGAAATATAAACACATCAGGTTCAAAGTCTGTGGTCGATCAATAGGCTTATACTCAAAATGTACTATGTTATGTTACCCTTTCTGTACACAACTCAACACATCTTAATATATGAGGATTGTGTTACCAGTGAATGTCTTAGTCATTAAAATCACAATAGCAATGCAAAATGACCTACCCTTAAGGAATATGGGGTATCTTTCCGTTCCGCACGAATAATTGACAACATATGAACATTTCGTAAAGGAATGTCAAGATATAGGTAGCATTTTTATCAATTGCCTGAGTTCAATATCGACAAATACAAACTAGAGACGAAGAGAAAACTTTCAGAAGCGAAGTCAAACAAATATAATTCAGAGTAGGAATACTTCGTATTTCCATCTCGTGGAAAAGAACAATGGTATTAAATATACATTTGTGGTATTTTCTCTGGATCCTAATAGCGTCTGTTGATGGGGGATCAGTACTTGTACAACCATGCTTTATGATGCAGACTTCTCGACATGAAGCCATAGAGAAGATTGCCTTAATTCTCTCAAATGCAGGACATAATGTGACCTATTTCGCTCACACAGAGTATAAAGTACCGGTTGATTTTATCGCAGCTAAAATCAATGTGATAAAGTTCAAATATCCTAGTGAGAAGATTTCGTATAATATGCCGGAGGATATTGTTCAGGATGCGATGACAATGACCATTACTGGTGAAATTGAGATGTTGTATGAACGTGGTGGGATCACAGATACCTACCTGGACACTTTACTATTGCCTTACTTTGAGGATGTCTCTCTATGGAAAAGACTAAAAGATGCAGCGTTTGATTTGGTCGTTTTAGATAGTATGGATATTCTTTTTGGTGGGATAGCTAAACAGTATTTGGACAGGCCAACAATTTTATGGTCAAATGCCGGCTATGAGCAGCACTTTGAAAATTGGCTGATGCCCTTACCGCTATCACACATACCAGTTGTTGCTGTTCCGTTTTCAGATCAAATGTCATTTATGGAGAGAACCATGAATGTTTACTATTATCTAACGATGATTTGGTACAAGCGTAACTGGTATGATTTGAGGGATGAGAACTGGAAGAAAGTCGCGGACAAACTTGGCCTACCACCAACCACAAACAGTCGGCTATCTGAAGGTGACTTGATCTTTATACAGTCAAACTTTGCCTACTTCTATCCTCGACCAATCATGCCTAATGTCATACCTGTCCTTGGCTTGAAAGACAAACCTCACAAACCAATCGACACTAAATTTACAGAGCTTATAGATGTCGCTGGTGAAGATGGGTTTATCGTTTTCACTCTTGGCTCAATGCCAGCAGGAATGGATGAACAACGACTGGAAATCTTTGCTACCGTTTTTGCGAAACTAAAACAGCGAGTCTTTTGGAAATACAGAGGCCCCATACCTAAAAGCCTAGGCAAGAATACAATACTGTTGCCATGGCTACCTCAAAATGATCTCTTGGGGCATCCCAAATTGAAATTATTCATGACACATTGCGGAGCTTCCGGATCAGCTGAGGCTGTGTTTAATGGTGTCCCTATCATTGGTGTCCCATTATTTTACGACCAGAGACATCACTGTACCATTCTCACACAGCGTTTAAAAATGGGCGTGGTCGTAAAATTTACCGAAATCACAGTTGAAATGCTAAGTAATGCTATAGATGAGGTTCTAGGAAATCCTCGGTACAAGCGTAACGCCTTGAAGGCTCAAGAACTGGCAAGAGATCAGCCTGTTAATGCATCCTACACCATTCAGTACTGGGCGGAATATGTCATGAAGCACAACGGAGCTAAACATTTACAATCAAAGCCTATGATGGAACTCAACTTCTTCCAGTACTATCTGTTAGACATAGCATGTGTTTGTCTTATATTTATGTCATTCGCCATACTTTGTGTTTTCTATCTCATAAAGCGTTTTTATAATTTTGTATTTTTGAGCTATGATAATGACAAACTTAAAAAACAGTAAATGATATATTGTATTTTGTAACATAAAAGTTACAAATGTTGGTTTTGTATGTATATTTCACGTTCAACACGTACATGTGAAAGGAGATGCCCAATGGAAAGTTCAATTGAACCAACTCGGTAAGAAAATGAAAAAGAAGGTGTACACACATTAAGTACACAACTATACTTTCGCTTTTGAGACTGCCTTATTCGTATACACATGCCCACTTTTAAAGTGTAACGGTGTTACAACCACGAACTGTGAATCGCGTAAGTGTTAAACACAGTTCAGCGCATTCGCCAGTGCCTTCCACATCGATTGACAAATCTGAGAAATCCAGGTATTTTAAATGATACAATATTACATAAAGGTTTTGACATCTAGGTTTTTCTGACTTCTAGGTTACTTCTGATATCTAGGTTACCCTAGCTTTGCATGTATGTATACAAAGTACTTTATACTAATAGATTAGTTTGAGGAGAGATAACAGTTCCTTGTTTGATCTAATTTGCCAGTCATATACCACTCTTTGCAGACTGTGCTATATGAAAACAAGTATTGTTGATATCATGTGCACAATGTGTTATAAAGCAGCAGTTTCAAATTCTTTTCTATTGAGCAAGAATGGCATCGTCGGTTCCCACGCTCAATCACTACGTTCTGAGGATAGGTCCGAAGCTTGATGAAGCAAGATGCAAGAATGGATGGTTAGTGCGATGTTAAAGAATGAAAAATACAACTATAGACACAATCTCCCTTTTATTAGGTAGCCTCTACAAATGGATGGCTATAATTGAGTACCCAACATGCCTTAGTTTATGAAATATCACAAAATCAAATTAAAAAATGACTGTTTATCTGTTCCTTGCACATATGATATCCGCACCGATTGTTTTCGTATAGCACAGCATTTATAGGGTGTATTCGATATGTCTAATTTTATTTACTGCTCGTGACATCCAATAAAAAGTCAATGGTTTTTATATTGATGTGTCGACTTATCTGGAGCTCTTGAGTTTCTTTATAACACTTGTACTCCCCTCAAGATTAACACATTCGTAATATCCAGACGGATATATGTAAAACTTCTCACCCTGTTTTTATTTTATTAAACAAAGATTGTCTGTACTTTGAAATGTATGCGTACACGTAATTTATAATCACATAAAATCATAGAAAGTCACATTTTCTAGGAAGAATAAAAATCTCGGATACATGAACAATTTACCATTGATATTCAAAGATCTAAGGAAAAAATAAACTCCGTATTAGCTTAAATATTTGAATCATAAAATATGCCTCTCCTTAAGTTTCTGTAAATTATTTTTTATGTCAATACCCTAATGTTGTGATACTTTTCTAGGCTGCCCAGTGCATAAAACGAAACTGTTGTGAAATAACAAAATGTAAAATCATTCGTTAAAAGATGGCAGCACAATGCAAATATGATATGAGATACCCCTTGTACTCTGTGATATTGAATTAAGACAAAACTGATTGTGCAAACATAACACAGTGCCTCCTAAGAGGCTCCCGAGGCGATATTAGATTGTGATTTTCTAAGAAAGAGAATATATGACTTCGTATGAAATTACATTTTTAAAACATGTGACATTGGAATAATATATTTTGAACTTTTAAACTAATAACCATTTAGTTTATTTATTTTCTATCCAAATCTAACATATCAAGTCCAAAGTCTGCTGTAGACATGGTAGATCACGATACTCTAAAATGAAAATGTTCTTTGCGTATGTCACCCATTTAGTGATTCTTCTCTAACATTTCAAAACATCTTATATATAAGGAATAACTAACCAAAGAATAACCAAAGATAAGACAAAAATGACTGTTCTTACGGAATATGAATTACCTTTCCGTTGTTACATTCACGATAAATTAACCATATATTATAGACACTTTGTAAGGGGTTTTAAAGTCAAGATAGAGGTAGCATTTTCAAGTACCATTTGTCTGAGTAAATTCAATATTAGCTAATACAAAAGAGCGACGAAGACAAATCGTCAAACGAATGCAAAGATAAGGAGTTCGCATTTCCGTCTTGTAGTCAAGAACAATGGCATTAATCATACATTTGGTGTGTTGTCTCTGGATCCTAATAGCGTCTGTTGATGGGGGATCAGTACTTGTACAACCATGCTTTATGCTGCAGAATTCTCGACTTGAAGCCATAGAGAAGATTGCCTTAATTCTCTCAAATGCAGGACATAATGTGACCTATTTTGCTCACACAGAGTATAAAGTACCGGTTGATTTTGTCGCAGCTAAAATCAATGTGATAAAGTTCAAATATCCTAGTGAGAAAATTGCGTATAATGTGCCGGAGGATATTGTTCAGGATGCGATGACAACAACTATTACTGGTGAAATCAAGATGATGTATGAACGTGGTGGGGTCACAGATACCTACCTGGACACGTTACTGTTGCCTTATTTTGAGGATGTCTCTCTATGGAAAAGACTAAAAGATGCAGCGTTTGATTTGGTCGTTTTAGATAGTGTGGATGTTATACTTGGTGGGATAGCTAAACAGTATTTGGACAGACCAACGGTGCTATGGTCAAACGCTGGCTACGAGATGCACTTTGAAAATTGGTTGATGCCTTTACCATTGGCCCACATACCAATTGTTGCTGTTCCGTTTTCAGATCATATGTCATTTACGGAAAGAACCATGAATGTTTACTATTATCTAACGATGATTTGGTACAAGCGTAACTGGTATGATTTGAGGGATGAGAACTGGAAGAAAGTCGCGGACAAACTTGGTCTTCCACCAACCACAAACAGTCGGCTATCTGAAGGTGACTTGATCTTTATACAGTCAAACTTTGCCTACTTCTATCCTCGACCAATCATGCCTAATGTCATACCTGTCCTTGGCTTGAAAGACAAACCTCACAAACCAATCGACACTAAATTTACAGAGCTTATAGATGTCGCTGGTGAAGATGGGTTTATCGTTTTCACTCTTGGCTCAATGCCAGCAGGAATGGATGAACAGCGACGGGAAATCTTTGCTACAGTTTTTGCGAAACTAAAACAACGAGTTTTTTGGAAATACAGCGGCCCCATACCTAAAAGCCTAGGCAAGAATACAATATTGTTGCCATGGCTACCTCAAAATGACCTCTTGGGGCATCCCAAATTGAAATTATTCATGACACATTGCGGAGCTTCCGGATCAGCTGAGGCTGTGTTCAATGGTGTCCCTATCATTGGTGTCCCATTATTTTACGACCAGAGACATCACTGTACCATTCTCACACAGCGTTTAAAAATGGGCGTGGTCGTAAAATTTACCGAAATCACAGTTGAAATGCTAAGTAATGCCATGGATGAGGTTATAGGGAATCCTCAGTACAAGCGTAACGCCCTGAAGGCTCAAGAACTGGCAAGAGATCAACCTGTTAATGCATCCTACACCATTCAGTACTGGGCGGAATATGTCATGAAGCACAAAGGAGCTAAACATTTACAATCAAAGCCTATGATGGAACTCAACTTCTTCCAGTACTATCTGTTAGACATAGCATGTGTTTGTCTTATATTTATGTCATTCACCATACTGTGTGTTCTCTATCTCATAAAGCGTTTTTATAATTATGTATTTTTGAGCTATGATAAAAAACTTAAAAAACAATAAATGGACATGTTGTATTTTGTAACATAAAAGATAAACTAGAAAGTATGTTGTTTTTGTGTGTATTTTGTTCCTTTCATTTTTCATTACATGAAGAAGACAACCCGTTGTGTGTATAGGTTCCAAGTTTTGAATATAAAATATCATATTCAAAAATGAGTCATAATAAATGTGAAAACAATAACAAAACATAAGGGTTTCATCCTGTGATAATTCATATATACCCAATAAAAATTGGAACAATTTTTTGTTTATTCAGATAATGGTTAAATAAATATTTGTGAAAATGTTAACGATAAAAATATGTAAATATAATTATTTTTTTGCTTGTCATGGTCATGATCTGTATACTGCATATGTCATGGAAAATTTCCAAATTGTCTCTGTTTAGGGCATCAGTTTGGAACATATAAATGGGAAAAATAGATGGCATCATGGGTATTGGTAGGGCTAAATAACATGTTAACTTAATAGCAAGAGTCATTTAATTTCTTGATTTAACAAGAAATTACATTTGGATCAACTTAAAACACCATTGGAATGTAACTATATGATACTATTGACATGTGGATTGTGATATAACAATAAAATTGTGATCTTTATAAGAGTAAATTAACTCTTAAAGGTTTTTCAACATTGTGTCAACATTGTGGGGTTTTATTTAGCCCGACCATTTTCAGAAAACTTTAAAATCTTTTGAATTTGAATAAAGGTAAATAACAGTGCAAATCGAAGTTGTTTTGATAGAAAAATACACACAGAATTCAAATATGCCATCAAATAGAAGAAAATGTTTGTCTTTAGTGGTCAAAAAAGCACATCTCCTAAGTTCTCATTAAAACGAGACTTTAACGAGATTTCCAAGCTATATTTCACAGCTTGACTGATGTGAAAATTAAACGAGTCTAAGTCCAACACTTGTAGCCTCGATACCGTGACATATAAGGACAAAACATATACATTTTATCAAACTGCTAAAGCAAGCAAATATTTCGATCAGAATTCCCAATGTTGTGGTATAGACTTTGAGTAATGAATTAAAAAGATACATTATCTACTGATAAGGAAAAACAATATTACAGATTAAACTAAACGACTGAAACTAATTTTAAAAAAAACATTGTTCAAAGCCGTTTTTGTTTTGGTCTTCAGAAAAATATTATATTTCAATTTTTGTGTTACAAGTTTTCGGTCTTATATAATTAATCATGTCGCAAAAATGTCCAAATTATGTACTTACATAAACAAAAGTGTGATATACAAAACGTATACTAGTATTTCCTAAAGTTGTCACAATATAATAGCTAACAATAATACCGTATAGTTAAAAAGTAAATTCTTACCTGTATAAAATCTTAATAAATTTGCTGGTTTGTTGTTTCTTTTTTTGTGTCTATTCTTCAAGTAAGAGTAAATATTTAATTGCGATGTTTTTTATGAATACATTTACCTCATTGTTGTTTTTTATAGCAAGATACGTTACATTGAATTAGGGAAGAGTGATTTCCACATTTTTAAGTAGTTTGACAGATCAGGAAGAAAAATGATATGCAACAGAAAATGAAACAAGGAGTGAAAATCCGTGGAACTTTTGTGTTTGCTCTGGAAATGGCAATATAATTTAAAGCCCCAATTGAAAAGAAAGAAGAAAATGTACACTACAGTGGCGGATCCGGATAGTGGGCACAGAATTTTTCTTTAGCATTTGAACCCCAACATTTTGTAGGGCCTCAAAAATGAGCCTTCTTGGGCACATTTTTTGGGGCAATTTATCAAAAATTGGCCTTAATGTTTCAAAATTGCCTTAGCCCTAGCTGAGTTTGTTAAAGATGTACTGCTTATTGTGACAATAAATACCTTTAAACCTAATTTTTTTTTCAAAAGTGGGCCCAATTTTGTGGTTTTAAAGACCCAAATTATTTTTCAGACTCAAATCCTCCCCCCCCTAGTTAATTTCTGGATCTGCCACTACACTTTCTGCAGAATACTACTACTCTTCACGCCAGTTACCATGTCCCTCATTTCCCTCTTCTAAATGCTATATTCTAGTATGGCATTGCCATATCCCTCTCAGGTGTTGTAGTTTTCTTTTGTATTCCATCGTATTCCATATATCTTCTTTTATTCAAATCGACTCCATACATCGAAGCATCTCAGCCAGTTGCCATCTGTACAGCCCTGTAACATTATCCCACGTTACTGTTTATCAATCCCGAATATACGATGGCATATATTTGAAGAGGAATAAACAATACAAATGAATAAAACCTGCCCAAAATCCAAGTAATGATCCTTGATTTGTCGGGGACTACAGCCATATCTAAAAAACGATCTCAAGAAATCTTAGGCATTTTATTTTCAGGGAACTAACTTATCAAAATAATATTGTTATATTTTGTTTTATTTCAAAAATAAACGACTGACCTCTAAATCATAATCAAAGTGATTGAAGTGAGTGAATATGTAATGCTGTCGACTTTTTTTAATCACAAACGTGTTTCAGTATCATATGTTTAAGAAAAAGTACATGTTTGCGAACAAATAGTTCAGACGACTTTCCAAATACTTTAATACTCTAAACGGAACGGGTTAGAAGCGCAGGAATTTTCATTCATTTTTGAAGTTCGGTTTGTGTAATAAAAGTGCTGAACTATTTCGAGGTTCTAACCATTTTGTTATCGGAACTATATCCATTTCGGAAACCGGCGTAATCGAGTGGAGTACCAGTGCACAGGTTCATTATTTCCTTCGGGTCCCTGGGCCGTGTTTTGGTTACTATAGTTAATATTTCTAATTAACTATATAAATTGTAATATTTGTACTAGATTTTTACGTTATTGTATTTTGCATATTCTGTGAAAACAAAATTAGAACATTGAACAATACTAACCTACAGAGGTAATGGTCATGGAACTTTATGATCAATGTTCGTATATTAACTTGAAATAGTTAATACTATACTAGTATACACTTTTGAAAGGCAGGGTTAAAGTACAGCAATTCAGTCACCTATTGCCAAATACTATAGCATAGTGTACAGCAGCTACAGCATACGGCAAAGTATGTCACCAGAGGTGTTCGATCTCTGCGTAGTTGGCGCGGGGATGATAGGATCAGCTGCAGCCATGCATGCGTCAACCTCCTGTTCAAAGACAGACCCAAGAAACAAAGTAATTCTCATTGGTCCTCAAGAGCCCAAGGTAAATATGCATATATATTAATATAAAGAACCAGTTGTAATTTTATCATCAATAACAAACTGGCGGATCTGCCCCCTAGGATGGGCCCAGAAGATTGTTTGTAGGGTCTCAATTAGGGGGCCTTTTTTAGGGTCAAACGTACATCCAACATACAATTTTCAATAACAGTAAAATAGCAATAAAATAAAGAAAATAAGATTACTTTACTTACTCAATAGAATTTGATATACAAATCAATATTCATGATTAATCACAAAATGTACATTTACAGGGCCATCCCATAGTATGCCACTTGTGTTTCAGACAGATTCAACCAACATATTTTGATAAATCATGAAATTAAATGGCTATTGCAAGTTTTTAACATTGGAGTCTACGGCAGCCTGGCCCACCAAAACAAAAAACACATAGTGCTGACATCTATTTATTCAGCTTTTTTCATTTATATAGCTACTCCTTTTGATAATTAAGTTCCATCCCAATCAATCTCAGACTGACATATTCATCCATACTTATCAGTTGTGTTATATTTTTCGTAGAACAAATACTCACAAGAAAATCAGAGGCGGTTCATCTTTGGCGCACACTATGATGAGGGGCGAATGGTCTGCTATAATAACAAGTGGGATGAGTGGGATGATCTTACAATAGCATCAAGCAAACGCTATATGGAAATTGAGAAAAGGACTGGTATTTCAACTTATTTCTATTAAGATATATTCTGATTCCCGAATGACAAATTCCGTTGACATTTACTACTGCGTGGTTAAAAAAAGATTATTTACAAATTGCAGATATCGATATTATCGTATTTTCAAAATTTGATATAAAGACCTAGATGATTTGAAGATTTTAATGGACCCTCGCATATTTACAAATACCGTTTCATAATTTGTTTTTACCGCCTTATTAGGGGGCCTTTTTTAGGGTCAAACGTAAGATTACTTTACTTACTCAATAGAATTTGATATACAAATCAATATTCCGGTTTCCGAAATGGATATAGTTCCGATAACAAAATGGTTAGAACCTCGAAATAGTTCAGCACTTTTATTACACAAACCGAACTTCAAAAATGAATGAAAATTCCTGCGCTTCTAACCCATACGGCAAAGTATGTCACCAGAGGTGTTCGATCTCTGCGTAGTTGGCGCGGGGATGATAGGATCAGCTGCAGCCATGCATGCGTCAACCTCCTGTTCAAAGACAGACCCAAGAAACAAAGTAATTCTCATTGGTCCTCAAGAGCCCAAGGTAAATATGCATATATATTAATATAAAGAACCAGTTGTAATTTTATCATCAATAACAAACTGGCGGATCTGCCCCCTAGGATGGGCCCAGAAGATTGTTTGTAGGGTCTCAATTAGGGGGCCTTTTTTAGGGTCAAACGTACATCCAACATACAATTTTCAATAACAGTAAAATAGCAATAAAATAAAGAAAATAAGATTACTTTACTTACTCAATAGAATTTGATATACAAATCAATATTCATGATTAATCACAAAATGTACATTTACAGGGCCATCCCATAGTATGCCACTTGTGTTTCAGACAGATTCAACCAACATATTTTGATAAATCATGAAATTAAATGGCTATTGCAAGTTTTTAACATTGGAGTCTACGGCAGCCTGGCCCACCAAAACAAAAAACACATAGTGCTGACATCTATTTATTCAGCTTTTTTCATTTATATAGCTACTCCTTTTGATAATTAAGTTCCATCCCAATCAATCTCAGACTGACATATTCATCCATACTTATCAGTTGTGTTATATTTTTCGTAGAACAAATACTCACAAGAAAATCAGAGGCGGTTCATCTTTGGCGCACACTATGATGAGGGGCGAATGGTCTGCTATAATAACAAGTGGGATGAGTGGGATGATCTTACAATAGCATCAAGCAAACGCTATATGGAAATTGAGAAAAGGACTGGTATTTCAACTTATTTCTATTAAGATATATTCTGATTCCCGAATGACAAATTCCGTTGACATTTACTACTGCGTGGTTAAAAAAAGATTATTTACAAATTGCAGATATCGATATTATCGTATTTTCAAAATTTGATATAAAGACCTAGATGATTTGAAGATTTTAATGGACCCTCGCATATTTACAAATACCGTTTCATAATTTGTTTTTACCGCCTTATTAGGCCTCCATATATTAAAAGTTAAAGTTAACTATCTATATTTTATAGGCATCCGATTTTTCAACCCAGTTGAAACATTAATTATGTTTAACGAAGACAGTTCTTTTGCAACAATAGAAGAAAACGACGATGATGAATATGGTAACAATGCGTTGTCCCATGCAGACGCGCAGACCGCCTTCCCTTGTTTGAAGATCCCAAGTGGGACTAAGTGTCTACGAAACCATACAAAGACTGGGTACGTCAGCGCACGAAAATATGTTTCAGCCATGCAAAAATCTACAGAAATGGATGGTTGTGTAATTCTCAATGATATTGTTATTCGTTTAACTGAAATAGCTGCCTCAAAGGACAGTGTACATCATATTAAAATTACGACAAAAAGTGGTAAAGAAATAGTTGCAAGGAATGTGCTGATTGCGACAGGAGCTTTTACCACGCTGTATGACCTGTTTCCTAGCGGTATACTACCTCAAATTATTCTCAAGTCGCAACTAGTAGCTAAAATTGAGATCAGTGCTGAGGAAGCCCTGAGAATAAGGTAATCATAAATGTTCCACATGAGGTGGCATGGTTAATCAGTGATGCAATATCATTATAGTTTTATGTTCAAGATTTACATGCACATACATAAATTAATGCTTTGCAAAATTGCATCTTCTGGTGCATGGTTAATGCATCCATGTACAACCATTTTAAGTGCAACTATTATAACCTATTGCCCTATAATAAATCAGTTATAGGTTGGAATGTGGAAAACCAGTGTCATTGAAAGGTTTAACAGTAAAGTAACAGTAATATATTACTTTTGTCTTGAAAAATGTGTTTTTATAATGTTTGATTTAAAAAAAATAAAATAAAAAAGATTTAAATTGCACTTTTAAGCACCCATGCGCTTAGCTTATGTTTAAGAATATGATATATGAAAATGAGCACTTCATGCCATAGTCTTCGTAGTTCCGTAGTCTTTAAAAGAAGTTTTTGGTACTATTAAACACTTCCAGATCGTTCCCTATGGTTGATTGGGAGATACAAAGTAATTCTTACACGAAGTGGACAGGACTCAAAGAGGGGTTATCTATAGATGGATGTTATATCCTACCTCCTATACTATACCCAGATGGTTAGTAAAGCACGTATCAATTCAATTTCTCATTCAAAGGAAAGAGATCATAATACGTGTACAGGCCCGTAGCAAGGGGGGGGGGGGTTCAATGGGCCAAAATTTCTTTCAAAATCATGCAGTTTGCAGTTTTTCACCATTCTAAGCACTTTTTAAGTGATTTTGGCAATTTTTGGACCAAATTTGTCAAAAGTGAACCCCCCTGGAATTTTTCAAAAAGTGAACCACCCTTGGCAAATCCTGGCTACGGGCCTGCGTGTACGAGAAAACCATTTTTTGGGGATCCCTTAAGGTCGGTGAATCTATCCAATCCATTCCTACTTCAATTTCTGCCTTTTAGTTCTTAGTATGAGAGATCATGTCTGAGTCACACGGACTATTTATAGATAATATATATGAAAATTGAAAAGAACGGATTCCTCTTTTAAATTTTTATCAATTTGGAAATGCGCATCGTAAATCTTCAAAATTGCTAAAAAGTATTATTCAATCAGATATCAAAATGCCCCTTCCAGAAAATAAAATGAGGATTGTATGGTGAACATTAGCCTTAGTTGTCCTTTTAATAACTAACAACTTTCATCCCAGGAAAGATTTACATTAAAATTGGCCATGCACACACGTTTGAAGAGGTGGTTTCAACGAAGACTGAAATACAGAACTGGTACACAAGAAAAGAACATCCAGAAGCGCAAGAAGCACTCGTGAAAACTCTTTGTATCTTGATCCCAGGTATACTACAATAGTGGAGACTTCATTCTAATCAGGAAAACACCAGTTTTTATTTAACTTTGAAATATTGATTAGAAAAATGTAAGTGATACACAACCTGTTGCTGTTGCTAGTATTGCATTATGTTATATGTATACTTGTATTTTTCATTACGAAATAATAAATAAATCAAAAAAAGGAAAAACACCAATATCGAAGTGTCCGATTAGTGCTTCATGTGAAGTTATTTAGAACAATATAACAGATGCTAATCTTATGCATTTTATATATTAGATTAACTTCTTTAATCTTACTCTATACGTACATTCTCTTGATTATTCACGATGTTAAAGAACATCAGATGGGCTACTGATATATTCTACATTTGTTCATACATGTACATGTACATTATAGGAAGGACACAATCATAGAAAGGACACAATGAACCATCCTTGCATTTTCAACATTTTTTCCTTTTAGATTTACGTATTTTGTCAGTACATATAGACACATGTATCACTACACACACTGAGACTGGCCTTCCTTACATTGACAAAGTATCCGATCATATCGGCATTGCAGTTGGTGGTAATGGACATGCGGGAAGATCATGTGATGAAATTGGAAGAATCGCAGTGAATCTTGTTATGAAGAATATTTGGGTTTCTGATTTAGTCCAAAAGCGATTCAAATTGATCCAAAAAGATTCTGAAAAGGTAAAGGATGGCCAAATTGTAAACAATTAATTATTCAATTATGCTGGAATCTTGAATCTGACAGATCAGATTAATTAAGTTATTAATAAATTAACTTATATTCTATTTCAGAGTATGTTATAAAGAGATATAAGAAGTTGTGTCCAGTCTAAGGAACACACCGACAAAGAACACTAAGACTACAATTATGCATGGATAACATGCATTACGCACATTAAGACTACAATTATGGATGAATAACATGCATTACGCACAATAAGACTACAATTATGCATGAATAACAAGTATTACGCACATTAAGACTACAATTATGCATGAATAACATGCATTACGCACATTAAGACTACAATTATGCATGAATAACATGCATTACGCACACTAAGACTCCAATTATGCATGAATAACATGCATTACGCATATTAAGACTACAATTATGCATGAATAACATGCATTACGCACATTAAGACTACAATTATGCATGAATAACAAGCATTACGCACATTAAGACTACAAGTATGCATGAATACATGCACTACGCACATTAAGACTGCAATTATGCATGAATAGCATGCATGACGCTCAAATACATGATCGTTAGACAGTACTCCATGATTAAATCCCCAGTTGCTAGATTGTCCCTACATAGTTTGTGTCAAATAGAGGGAGGCAAATTGGAACCAGTTTTGAAAAATTAGCGCTGCGTTTTACGCAAACAGAAATATTATGCATACTCTATTCTTATTCGATAAACGTGACCTTCTTCATCGTTTTTTATGATTAGAATGCAATCTACAGTTATGGTTTTGGCATAAAATGAAATTTTGCAAAAAATGAAGTAAGCTTATATTGAGATTTAAGTTTTTTTAGTTAAAACATCAAAGGATATCATGCATGACTAGCACCAATATGAACTACGGAGGATTTCCAATTATCTCATATAGATAATTTTTGATTAAGTATCTGGCCTATGTCAAATGTAGCGAGAAAACTGGTTGTTGACGATTCTTTCATATTCATTTGATTAAATGTTAAATGATTAAATGTAATAAAGTCATACAAGCCGATTTGACTGCAGAAAGCCGAAAACAAAAACTTGCTTTCAAAACTTGATTTCAAAGAGCCGGTTTTTTAAAAGCCAATGTGAAAGAAATTATGGTCCCCCGGGGATTATGGTTCCCTTTCTTAACGGCCCTTACTGGCCCTGATTGCGTATAAGATAATGAGGGAAAGAGTTGTATCTATAAATCAATGGAGAGTGGGACCATAATTTGATAGGACCTCCTACCCTTTTACACCAGTTTCTTACGGACTACACTCGGAAGCCGGCTTTTTGAAAGCCAGTTTCTAAAAAATTAAATAATTGCCTTTGAGTACTTCTGAATATTTTAAAATGAAAGCTGTACCCTGTCTTATGTTCTGAGATTCCTGGAAATGCTTAAAATCAATTTACAAATCAAATTCCATCAACGTTGCTCGCTCCGCCCGTGACTCGTTTTGCTCACGGCTAGCATCAGCCGGTCACCAGCCAGTCTGAACTTTTAAATTTATTAGCCATTTTACTATTATCTTTCTTTATCATTAGTCCCGAGCACTGTCCCTATACTACCCCAAACATTGGCTAATTTGTGTTAAGTAGAGAGGTCTATTTGTATCCTCAGAGTAAGGTTAATCTGCATCTTGCGGTCGCGGGGCTTTTTGAAAGCTCAGTTAGCCGAAATATGGGTTGAACATTCTTCAAAGTTACATTGGCAGAGGATAATTAGACCTCAAGTAACTGTAGGCTACTTTTAATGCTTAGCAGCAATAAGGAGTGCTGAGTTGTTTCTAATGTCCTGGTAGGCCTGTTGTAAAACGAAAACTTTGGACATGTTCTGACATTTAAAATGTATCTATTTTTCATATATGCAACCAAAACATTTCAAACCATTTCATTTCAAGTTTTCCGCGACGCATGCGCAAAGAATAATTCCACGAAAATGTACTATACAGAGGTAGAAAGCAACCTACATTTTCACCTCCTATTGAAATACATGTAAAATTGACAAAGGTCAAATCATAATTTCTCAAATCCCAGCCCATCGAATCCTCGCATCCATTCAGATCATGTTGAGAAAAATATCCCACAAACGAAAAAAGATTTTGCTATATTTATAAGCGAGCATTGATTTTTGTGTCTGTAAAAAGCACGTAGGACCTGATTATCCCATTGATTTACTGAGACCGCCAAAAATATAATTCAATTTTTTGGTTCAAAATTATAATCTGTCAGCGGGCCCTGACTATATTACCAAACATTAATTGCCAGTACATTTACACATATACGTGCCATACATCTACAAAGTAGCGGACTGGGGTTTTAAGTACTACTTTTCCTATACGATGAACAAAAAAATCTCAAGTAGGTTGTATTGACCCAGAGGGCGATAGACCAGGAAGTTAAATATCTACAAATCCAAGGATAAATAATAACAGCTTTTTATTTAACAATCTGCACAAATATTGAAGATATAGGACTCAAATAGGATCTTTTCGACATAAAATTCTACAAGCATTGACATTCAAATTACACATTTGATTCTGGGAAGTAAGACATTCATCAAACTTCGACGAGGAACCATATATAGAGGTCGTCACGTGATTACCTCTATGTGTTCTTATTTTGAGGTTCTGGTTACATTAGATTGTATGTGAAATCAGCAATCCTTCGGTTACTTCTCAGAATGGGTTCCTTGTGGACGAAACGAACTAAACTGCAAGAGGAATCTGGAGGTGAGAATACTAATGGCAAAACTGAAGAGAAAGATGAAGGATTATCATCAATGGAAGATCTGAATTTAACTGAAGTTGGGGCTCGTGAAGGCCAAGCAGACAAACCAGAAAACTTTGGTAATTTTAGATGCAATGTTTTACTCAATGTACTTTTATGGAAACTATTAGTCAGACATTAACGGTAGAATTGAAAATGCCAGTTTATGTTACTTCCTCATCATTTTGCATTTAATATTCTATAATTTCATCTAAGCCTACGCAAGCTGTATACTGTATATGGTCCAATCTACGAATTGATATTTTAAAAATCTTTTGTTATACAATGTGTTATTTTTTGTTTGATATGTCGTAGTCACATAATTAAGTATGTTTTACTATATACAAGGGTTGTTCAAAAGGTTCTGCACAAATATCTCATGAAAATAATGAACCGATCTTGTTCATATTTAGTGAGTTTGTGCCCCCATCTTATTCCCTTACACTATCAAGGTTCCATGTATGTATAATCATTACTTAACATTTCATGGTTGCTATGGTAACCAAGGTGATGGCGGCACCGTCCATATCATTTTCAAGAGAAAACTAGTAATATTATAAAATACCAGCCCCGGAGTTATACAATAAGTAGGTAGCTACGACCGGGACTATTAATGAAGCTAGCATTTTATGATTCAATAAATGATCGATGATCATAAAGACAAAGGGTGAATTTTATGTCTAGAGATTGAAAGACTAAAACAAACCAAAACTCCAAATATTGATAATAATTCACAGATGCAAATCTTTAACTCAAAAGAAGACAATGAACAATTTTACCATTCATCTTATTCATTAATTTATTTTACAAACAAAATATTTCACATACCAAAAGCTTACTATTAAAGTATCACTTACAATGAGGAAATCAATTCTAGTTAATATAAGAGCAAACATCAAAAGCAAAATCTGCAGTCAGGTGAATATCATAAATTCCTTAAAAACCTGAAGCTAAGTTGTTCTTAATAATTATGAATTGATTCCAATCTTACTATAAATCATCTTTAAATCTCTTCCTTCATAAGGCTTTTAGATTTCTCATGATTCTTTTAGTAAAACAAGATAATGAAATAGAAATGGTATAAACTCTCATTAAAAGTAAAAACTGACGCTTACCTAAATAAGTTCAATTCGTTCCTCTTTTAAAATGACCATCTTGTTATTCTGTTCTATTTCAAACCTATCACAGCTTCTGTGCATGTTTGACTTCCAACAGACTATAGAAATAATCAAAGTCTAAAAACATGAAACTTCTATTGTACTTTTGACTTCATTTGTCCTCTTATAGAAACTTGAAAGTTCTAAACTTTCCTTTTCCATCTTTAGAACACTGAAAGTCCTTTACAATACTTTTCATCTAAATCAAATTGTTGTTCCCATCATTTACCAGCCAAGATGTGCCCTTGATGATCCGAAATCGCTAACCCAGGAGTTTGTAAAATCCTCTCAATTTATACAAGATATTTTTCCATTAAAAAGTGATGTAAGCAACAAAATGATGTAGGCACAATAATGACGTTAATACTATACTTAGCATATGACACTATATGACGTACCAAAAATAAAGCAACGTTTCAACTTTTACAAGGCTAAATGAAATGGATACTCTGACATAGTTAGAACAACTGCATCATGTTTTTAATGACTCAGAGTGTACTTTATGAGGTGAAATTGACATCACTTTGCTCAAATCAGCTGACTGCAGTTTTGACTATCTTACTATTCAATTGATACAATGGTATTCTAGTATGAATATATGAGTACTAAGCAATAACTGATTATATTATAATGAGTGGGCCTCTACACTACCCCCTTCAATAGAAAAATTGTTCGTCCTCGATCAACATGTCTAAATATGTAAGTCCTGTTTGCTTTAGATGTGCTATGCAGTGCAATGCAATACACTGTATGTAATTTGATACAACACAATTTTTCTAAACTGTTCTTCAGAGATAAGGAGCTATAAGCTGATATATGTACGTCTATAACAATTTGCATATACATGTATACATTGTATGTCCATCAGAAAGTTTATATAGTTCTTCGTTTCATAACCCTCAGTTGTAATGTTCATAGGTCTATTCTTTTGCTGGTGCTGGGTATGGTTTATTCAAAGTTTCTGCAAATCTGGAGTCAGATGTAAAATTGTAACATTCGTTCTACAGGTAGCAGAAAAACTGGTAATCAACTCCTCATTGTAGGAAGTTCACAGCTCTGTCATTAGGAAGTCTGCATTGTTCTGTCCATCTATTCCCACGTATACGACTGGATCTCAGCATCCCATCTGACTTGTGCCAACTTGGAGGTAGCTCCAACTACAGCATCACTGCATGCTGCACAAATGACACTGAGATCAACACGGGATCAGTGCTTTGTAGTATGCATTGAACTACTGAGCAGACATCCTTCATACATTCTCATATCGCTACCCAGAGGCCTTCGAAGGGTTCCACCATAACATGGCAAACCTAAAATTTAATAAGATTCTAACCTGTCTATCCTACTTGAAGGGTTTTAAGTATTTCTATACGAACCCCCCTTAGGATCTAAAGGCATTAATCTTCTTAGGTTACTTAGATTAAGTCATATATAATAACTTGTCCAACATTAGACTATAGGGTGATCATTCCACCACCCTCTTTCTAATCTATACAAGTCTAATAATATACAATAATATATAGAATATAAGGAATTAAACAATACATTCTGTAACAAAATATGAAACTTCTTCAAAACATAAAACACTCAACCTGCTTGTTCCAGGTTCTCTGTTTGCTTTCATTTTATAACATTTTCTTCAATATTCATTCAACTGTTAACTCACTGTCAAAATCATGATCTCCATAAATGACATTAGAAAACAAGAAAACATTAAAACGATACCTAGAAATTAATTGAAATTAAAAAGTCAATCATAATTTTTTTTTTTTTTAAATTTCCTAATTTGGTATCAGGAAATCAGTTCGAAAACTCTTCTTATTTTAGTTCAGTTAACACAATCTATGCCTACAGATCAAATTTACATTTTGCAAAACCATCCTGATTCTGTATCTAACAAAAAACAACAACAACTTAATCCTAGCACAGTCATAGTCCGTCAAATTCTTTGTCAAATCGTCAATCAGATGTCTCAAATGGTCGGGTATATCTTCATCCGTCTTTTCCGGAGATTGGTATTCAATGCCACCAGCTGCAATGTTATTTCCAGTCACACGTTCATACCTTGTTACACCATCGTCATGAGAACAGAGGGCGTGACCTGGACAATCAATCATCCTAGCGGTATAGGGCTGCCCGAGGTGCACGTTCGGCACGTCATCTAAGGACTTTTCAGCTTCACTTTCCAGCGCCTCGTCAGCTACAGCAGTGCAAGGGGTCAGACCTGAACATAATCTCAGATCCCTAGTTAGGACGTTTCCAGCGCATAAGGGATCGTCAGTCTCTGAATGATCGTCATCATCGCATCGAGACTCCCCAATTACGTCACGAGGTAAAATGTCAGGTCGTAGTCTGGCACGTTTGCCCTTCACCCCCTGTGGACCATCTCTCATTGAATTACCAATTTCCGGATAAGTACCACCCTCAATATCAAGTTTTTCCCCACAAGAAACAACAGGATCCCCTATGTTAAACATTGGTTCCCCAGTTGCTACTGCAGCATTCTTGTAAAGGAACAAGGGTTCTAAACTAAGATTAGCCAATCTAATTGGAATAAAAGGTTGACTAGGGTCAACTAGGGATTTGGCAACAATCAGGGGTGGAAATCTTTCTCTATCTGCCAAATTCCCATTCATTTCAATTAACAAAGGTGTATCACCCAAGTGTTGACATTGAACTTTTCCGGGAACAATCATTTCTGTCATGGGAGGCACTCTGACAGTATCTTGCATCAAAATTCGGCACTTTGTAGACAAATCAGTCTCTAATATACAATCAAAATCTTTGCCATGCATAGTCAACAGTGCATCCCCGACATTAATAATTGCCTTTTGGTTCTTTAAAAAATTGTAGCCTAACACAGCCAGAGTAGTTGTCGGCCACAAATGATTTTTGAACCACCCGTTATACCCTGACACAAATAAAACATGCAATCAATTTAGCTAATAGCTAATTAAAGAATCATAGTGATAGCATTATTGCTATCAAATGGTCAAAACTCTTACTAATTTTGTTTCACTTGAAAAATACTTATATTTCAATTCTTGCCTCTTTATAAATTAAAACAGGTTAGATATTCACTAACCAACTGTTTACCAAACATCTAGATAACAACAACAGTGAGCGCCATCTTTCAATATAATAGTATTATTCTTTGGGCAATAACAAGTAAATGCTCTATAAGTAGAATACCTTAGCTAACAACATAGCTGCATTTTCACTATTCCAATATTTATACTTAAGAGAATTTCTTATATCTCTATTCAAAATCAAACAAATATATGTATATATCAAGTACAGACAGATTTAGGGTCAAAAACTTAAATTTTCTTCATAATTCTCTTTTGATTCATAACTTAATTCCATGAGATATATTTCTCATATAAAACAAATCTGGTTTCCCTAACAAAAACAACTATTAATCGCCTGTATACTTTACTTCTCTAATCTGAACAAACCGAGTCTTAAGTGGTTATCTCACCTCCCCCTGATGAAAGGCAGATTCCCTCTGTGAAACTTAATCTGAAAACGGTCTTGCTAAAGCAACAATACATCTATGCCTAACAAGTTTATATCTGTTGGCCTTGAAATTCAACACTGTTAAGGTTAAATGAGGATAATTCTCTTGGCCATGAGAACCATAGACATTATGACCTTGTGTTAATCCCAATGTAATTCTATCCAGATAGCACCATAATGATCAGTAGACTCAGTTTCAGTACTCAAATTTAAAAAATAGTTAAATTTCCTTACCTCAGGTTTATCACACACTTCCGGATCAAAAGTTATGACACCATTGAGAAGACTAGTCTCGGTCTATATGTAATCAATGATACTAAACTGTACCTCCCAACCCCAAGGTCTCAAAAGTTAAAGCCTCCTCAGCCTGTCATGCTGAGGAAACTGGGTAGCAATTCCTCAAG